AAATTACCATTGATGACAAATAACGATGACAATAATATTATCTGAAATGAAAATTGTTACTTTTCATAGTTGTTTACAAATAGTACGAGTACTACTCTGAAGAAAACACCAATTAAATATCAATAGCAATCATATAATAATATCAAAATAAATTTAACGAGGAAAATTATAATGATAACAATATTACTATTTAGCATTATAGCATTAGTAATTATAATAACAACAACAACAATAATAATAGTAACAACAATAATAGTAATAATATTGATAAATATCACAGATAAATATTAAATAATATCAATATGTAATAATGATGGTTATACAAATATAACTAAAATGTAAATCTATGATGAGCCTAACATTTTAAATACAGTATTTTTCTAATAAATGGTCAAAAAGATGGATTTTAAATTGTGAAATAGAGTTGATTGATTGAAAATGAAGAGGTAAATTATACCACGATTTTATGTATTGGTTTATGATATAATTATCATCGTATTTTGCCGGACAACGATTTGGGGCAACGATAATTTAAAGTTCCTAAAAGATTGAAGATAATAACGAGAACTTTTTTTAGTGGTGAAAAAATTAAAAAATGACGGAGTAAGATTTACCTGTTTATGGTTTCAAAAAAATAGATAATTTAATTGATAAACAAGATCACACAATTTTAATAATTTCGACAAAAAATAAAGAATGTCAGAGTTAGAATGATATTGTTGTAAGGATATTATTTTCAAAACCTTGTTTTATAGTTTAGGAAATCTTAAAAAAACACGACACTTGCCCATTTCCACAAACCTGGTCCCCAAACCTGACAAGCACATCAGAGGTGTGATTTCTGCTAAAATTTGCATGGTATATGTTGAGTAAAGTTTCATAATTAACATAGTGACGAATTTTGGCTCGCATCCCATTTGATCAACACAATTTCACTGCTAAGTTTTTATGATAAAAAAAAAAAGGACAGATTTAAGTCGATTTTGATTTCAAAATATTTTAATGAAACTATGGAAAGATTATTTGGCCACTTAATCTAAACTTTAGGTTTTTATTCATTTTAGATTGACTTTATTTAAAAATAAAAAGTTTAGTTTTGTTGGTATTAAGACTTAGTTAGAACGCAGCCATTGATGTAGATTGGATAAATCATGATTAATATGTTCGTTACTTTTTTAAATAATTTGTTTGTCATGAATAATTTGGTGTCGTCATTAAAATGGCAAGCAAGTTGAAAATTTTAGAGTGATATTAAGATCATTTATAAAAATAAGGAAAAGCAATATTCCTAATACAGAATTTTGGAATGCATCTGTGGAGTATTCTATTGGAAAAGGTTTAGCATCATTGATAGAGACAAATTACAATCTATTAAAAAGATATGATGAAAACTATTGGAGAGCAATACCTCAAATACCGTAGTGTTTCAATTTACTTAGGAGAATTTAATTTACTTAGGAGAATGGTGATCAACAGAATCAAAAGTGATCAACAGAATTAAAAGTCAATCAAGTGATCAACAGAATCAAAAGCTTTCTTTTTGTCAAGAAACACTTCACATTCAAAAAGTTTATTGCCAAGAGCTTTTCTAATAGTTTCAGTTTCAGTTATTTTAAAAAGTGAATGAGTAGTTGAGTACTTGTTAAAAAGTCCATACTGATGTTTGTAGAGAGAATGATTTTTTTAGGAAAGCTATAAATTCTGTTGTGCATGACTTTTTCAAATAATTTGCTAATGTTAGATAGAAGAAAAATTGGTCAATAATTTGTGTGATCCATTAGAGAACCCTTCTTATGGATAGAACTTGGATATATATTATGGATGACTTGAAAAATGCCTCTGTTAAAAAAATTATTCAATATGGTTCAGTAAAGCTTGCAAACAACATTAGAAGTAAGTTTAAAAAGGTGCATGATTGATACTATTTGTGCCTAAATTTTTACCATTTTGTAAAGTATTTTTTATTAAATTAGACACCTGGTTTTCAGTGACTGAAAACGAGGTGTCTGATTTAATAAAAAATACTTTAAAAAAATACTTTTCTGAATAATTGAAAATTTTGAATTTTTCAAATATTCAGAGAAGATACTTTTAGGAGAAATCATTTTACTTTTAGCTGAGCGTTGTATTGTTTCATTGTAGTTTTTGAAAATGTTAGCATCAACCATCCTGTCTGAGATAGCGTTACTATTAAATTTGAGGAAGTAAGATTTAATTGATGTGGAGGGTTTGATTTCTTTTATCTCTTTCAACGTATTTTTTGTATTGTTGAGGTTTTTGTCAAAGAAGGAGATGTAGTATGACAAATTTAGATTTAATTAAAATCTACTTTATTTTCTTATAACTTTTTTTGTTTAATCTAAACTCACTTTTTGTGTGGAAATTACGCGCGAAACGTTCAAAATTGTATTTACCCGGGATTTAAGTGAACTTTGAATTTTGTGTATTGAAAATTTACTGTTGTAGTTGTTTTATAAAGTATTCTCATTTGTTTAAGTAAGTAATAAGTAGTTGTTATTTATTTGTTGTAGTTTTAATTTATTTATGAGATTTATAAGTCTGTTTTTACACTTATAGATATTTTGTTTGATAATAAATCCTTTTATTAGCTAAATCCGTAATAAAGAATAAAACAATAACAAAAAAAAAAAGTTTATTTAGTTTATTTAGTTTAAAAAATATTATTAAAAGCTAATGCAGTCAACATCAGAATAAAATAGAAGACAGTTATTTTCATTGTTTTTAAGTGTTTTTTGGCGCAAAGCACTGACGGATGGCCGCAAGAAAGCACGAATACATTTAACACAAATGTAACTAATATTAGTAAATTTTATTTTAATGTAAAAATAATTCAAAATAGTTTGTTTTTTAAATTGTATTTATAATAAATAAAAAAAAATGAAACTATTGCAATATTTAGCTAAACTTCCAAGTTAATTAAAAACCACATGCCAAGCATAATAATAAATAATAGAAAAATAATAAAAAACAAGTTTTATCCAAATTTTTCCAGAGAGCTAAAATATGTATTTCCATGGCAAAATTATTTTTGTATTAACGATCAGGTGTTAAAGAACGCGTATAATCTTTTAGTTTCTCTGAATAAGAAAAGTTTAAAAGCTTAATTTAATCTTGAGTTTCAGGAGAGAAACTTACGTGATTTTGGTGTAATTTGTTCCATGGTATTTAAGTAACTTATATATTTGAAAACTCTGGAAATTATATCCTATTTTAGGCAAATTGAATTAACTTATCTAATTATGTTCATTTATGTTGTTTATTTTCCACTGTGTTTTGAAATTTGTATTATAAATGTGTCTTTTGTGTTTATATGGTAAACGAATATACACTTTTAAAATTGAAATTAAAATAATAATAATAATAATTTCCTGCCTGCTCCTTGTTTCTATTAGCACCGTTTATAGTTAGGTAAAATTTTTTTGTAATTTTACTCAAGATGTGTCCTAATCTAAGACCTGTTGCCGTTTTCACATTTTACGTGTCCATAAAAAATTTCACAAAAGTTTTTAATTGATAAAATCTTTAAAAATTACAAAATGCGTTATAATATAGAAAAACATTTAAAAATCAAAAAAATAACAGAAAATCAGATAATCCCTTGTCTGTGATTCATTATTTAGTTAACCTTTTATATTTTAAACGGTCATTTTTTTGGAATTTCAAAACCATTATCGCCGTATTTTGAGCGCTTGATTAAGAATGATCATCAAAATTGCAATAGCTTTAATTAAAAATATATTTCGATTATCAGTATATATAGTTAAGAGATACACCAAACTATTAAGCTTTTTTAAATAATTTTTTTTTATTTCTTTAATCTTCAATCAATTTGACATACATGTAAATGTAAATGTAGTAAATGCAAATGTGATTATTTTATTTGCATTTTGCTAAGACTTTCTAACTAAGATAACCTAATTTATTTAAAAAACACTAAATTAATATTATTATTTAAACCAAAATTTGTTTAGAATTAAAACTAATTTTTATGCTTTCTAAATGTTAGGTATACGAGTTTTAAAAGATTTAAAAAAGAAAACAAAATTAAAAAATATATATTCTATTTTTTTCTGTGCTTTTTATCTTTTCGGTGGAGTTAAAAGCGCGATCAATTTTTGATAGAAGTATTAAAAAATTCGATGGTTTAGAAAACCGCTTGACTTTTAATAACATCGTAGAATTGACTTAACATCTTTGTTGCTATTTGTTTTATGTGAATCTAATGCTAATCTAATGGGAAATCAATAGGTTTTTTTTTATATTTGTTTTCTAAATGGAATTTTATTTTAAGCTCTAGACCATATGGTTGACATATGTTAAGATGGACATCAAGATACCATTTTTTTCAAGTTTTTACAACTTCTGATTTTCACTATTTGATCGACTTTCTTTATATATTTTTATTTTTTATCTTTATAATATATATATATATTTTATCTTTATTATATATATATATATTTTATCTTTATTATATATATATATATATATATATATATATATATATATATATATATATATATATATATATATATATATATATATATATATATATATATATATATATATATATATATATATATGTATTATCTTTATTATATATATGTATTATCTTATATATATATATATATATATATATATATATATATATATATATATATATATATATATATATATATATATATATATATATTTATTTATATATATATATTAAAAAAGTTAAATGAGAAAAAGTACAATAATTTTAAAGCGATAAAAAAGCTTTATTTTCTTCGGTTAAATTATTTTACTATATTAATTTATTATATATTATATTAAATTATATTTTGAGCAATTAAAAAAAAAATCCATCTTAAGCAGAGAAGAGAAATGCTTTGTAAACTTAATACAACATATATTAATAATTATCAAAACATATACATATAAACATGCGCATATATATATATATATATATATATATATATATATATATATATACACACACAGCTAAATATTGTTATTTCTTTACGTTTTTAGAACGTTTTTTATTATTGTTTCTTGCGTTTTTTCTAACGAATTCTCAATTGAATCTAAAACGTTTGTTTCAGTTGATTTATTTTCAGTTAAAACTTGGTTTAATGCGTTTATATAGTTTATCGCCAATCTAAGTGTTGTAATCTTTGCCATATGCCCGTCAGCAATATAGCAAGGTAAAGCGTCTCTTAAAGATTCGAAAGCTTTATTTAAAACTCTCATTCTTTCTCTCTCTCTAGCATTTACCAGCATTCTCTTTTGTGTGCTCATTCGACCTCGTTTCTGTTTTGACAGTTTTTGAAAACTAATTGCCATATTATGCATACGATAGTCAATACCGTTGTGACCATTCCATGAGTTTAAAAGATTTGTACTTGAATAAAAGGGCAGCGTTGAATGAAAAATCATCCCGTGTGGACTAGATTCTTCTACTGGGGAAACTTGACGACTAAACTCGGAAAAAGAGTTATTATAGAGTTCTGAACTTCGATATTCATATCCTTGGTTATGATTGTACTGTTGGTACATCGAAGGTGTATTGTCGGTATGCTCACTCAAAGTGGTTGCGGAAGAGTTACCGACTCTTTCTTCACTTGCTTGAAAGTTGAAACTACATGCGTTCATTTTAGTAAAACGGTTCATCTAAATTTACTCTGATCAAATTAAACGCATATTTAAATATCTTTAAATTGAATGTCTTATACAAAAGAAAAAGTAACAAAGCGTAAATTCGATAATGATCTCTAAAAGCGAAAAAATAATATCGAAAAAACAAAAAAACACATGTTTAACCAATCAAAAACAGTTTTGGCGAGAGCGAAATTCCTAATTTTAAAATATTCATATATTATTCATGTTCGGAAAAAACTTTTCATAAAAAGTTTTACATATTTACATTTTAGGTTATGCTCTCACGTTAAAACTTTTTCGAGTCAGCAAGGTTTCAAAAAAAAAACCTAAACGAAATTACTTTAAAGTTTGTAAATTACTTGTAAATTTCTTGTTGTCTTTTTTTCAATTTTTTTTACCATTTACATGTTTCTTTGGGGTTTTTTAAATATTTAAAATTTTTTGATCCATACAAATTTATATATTTTATTTCAAGTTTTTGAGACAATTTTAAAATTTATTTGGATGCTCAATTTTGTAAATTAGGTTTCAGAACATAAGTCATTTGTATTTAAGCTTTGAATATCTAGGTTCGGTAGTAGTATGTTGGAAAAAAAAGTTTATTTTTTTTCCTTGTATAAAATTTTTTCAAGTATAAATTTTTTTTTTCTGCTTCTTGTTCATAATAGGCAAATAAAAAGTAACTTTTACATCAATAATCGTCATCACATTTTTAAAGTATGTCAACTGTAAAGTTTAAGTTAAAAAAAAAATTATTTTCATGTTAACGTCTTAAGAATCGTAAAACTTTTGTCGGCAGTTAAAAGTTATGCAATTGACTGCACCATTGAACAGATGGAAGTTCATCAAGCGGTAGACATCAAAGTAATCTCAAGTTGTACCTTACAATTAGTGCTTCCTTTATTTCTATCTTGCATTCTATCTAAGTTTAATTATAGTTTAAAAAAATTTAGATAAAAGACTAGATAAAAATAAAGGTTTAAAAGAAGTTAAATTTTAAAATTAAATATTTTATATTCTATCAATATATAACATAGACTATTTATTTTATTATGAATAAGCAGCTTAACTGCATATATAACGCCATGATTTTTAGAGAGAGAGGTCGGATTAATCAGTAGTTATTTATTTGGGGTAAAAGGGTAAATGTGTAAAAAAACAACACATAACTAAAAGATATTATATTTCAAAAGAAAAACCATAAAATTATATTTCAATAGTTTTCAAACATCAACTTTCTATTACCAAAATATGAAGTAACGTCATAAAATATGAAGTAACGTCATTGAAAATATTAAATTTATGGAATACTTGAAGACTTCTGACCAAATATTGCATTAAAATACTAATAAATTAAAGTGTTTAACTGCAGTTAAGAAGCGCAGTCTGCAAAAATTGGTTTAAGAAAGTGAGATATAATATCTCACTTCGTTAAACCAGTTTTTGCAGATTGCGTTTTTTGATAAATTAATAAGCTTTAGATTCACTCTAGCTATATTACAGATGGTAGCATTAAAAATCTTTGTTGACGCATTCCTATATAATATTGGGCAGAAACCAAAGTAGTAAAGTCAACCAGTTCTTCAGCATTTGTGCTCATCATTATCTTAGATTTATTAGAAAAACTGAGTCAGAAAAATTTTTACTAACTTAAGATCTTTTCTCAAATCCAGGTGACTGAAAAGTAAAAATCAAGTTTATCGAATTTAACTTCATTATTAGGTTATTTATATTTTCTTTTTTGTACTTGTTGAATCTTTATCTGAACATTTTAAAGTACATTTTAAATCCATATTACGTTTCTTAATCTAAACCTTATTAATTTTTTTATATTGTTTTATTATTTCAAAATTAAACCCACGTTTAAAAAACATGAACGTTTGCTTCAGAATGTAAGCTTGGTCTGTTTGGCAGCTATTCATAAGAAGCGCGAAATCTTATTAGTACTTATACTAGTTTTAGTTAATATGGCCCTTATATTAAAATAGTTATTAACTTTGTGCAGTAAAGGTTAATTCTGGATTACTGTTTACTGGATCCAAAATTTATGTTTTTAAACTCTAAATTTCATTACACTGTTGTGATAAATTAAACGTTTTAGTTTGAAAGACAACAGCGATGAAATATAAATAGTCTATTTTTTTGTTAAAAACAATAATGCAAAAATTTGTCATAAAATTTAAAAAACATAAAACTTTGTAAGATGTATCAATACTATAATTCTTTATTCAATGCCATTTCTTTCATTGAATGAAAAACCGAAATGTAGTTGTCAAACATATAGATTGGATATTTATCTCTCTCCTTCTCCATTCTCCTAAAATAAATATCCTTATTCTCCACTTACTTGCTTGGTCAACTCTTTTGTAATATTTTTAAAAATAAATACTCAAAAATAAAAAAAACTTTTTATTTTTAAGTACCTGAGCTTGAGTAAGTAATAAATGATTGTTAATTAGTAAGTAACTTCTTTAGAAAAAATGTTTTAAGCATTGTTGAATGGATAATTTTTGATATCAATCAATATAATTAATCAATATTATAATGTGTGTACGCAGGGCCGGCGCAAGTAGGTGTCACGTGCGGTGGGTGTGTGTTTGCCATTACAACTTTTGCCGTCTAAAAAAAAAAAAAAGGTCCTCGTTTTCGAAAATTTTCCGACTACCATGACGACATTTGCCGACTAACTATGTAAACGATTAACTACCCTATATTGAAAGGGTCAAATTTGCCGACTAAGGGTCAAATTTGCCGACTAAAAATCATTGATGGGGGGGGGGTCACACACTCACCCTCGCACCCCCCTATTGCGCTGGCCTTGTGTGTACGTTAATAAACATTTCAAAACTTAACAACAATAAAAAAAACGACATAAATTCCGTATAAAAGTTATGTATACTTTATTATAAACAGATTGGCGGTAATTTACATTAAAAAGTTGAATAGAACTCAAATTGAAAAGTCGAAAAAAGTAAAAAAGTGATTTAGATAAATTTTTACATTACTTAACATTATGTTTTTAGCATTTTTATTATCAACTCTTAACAACTTTTTAGTTATTTTTATTTCCACTTCCTTGCGTGATCTCTGAACTCCTTTATAACCATTTCTTCACGTGATCTTTCTAATGCTTTAAAACTTCTTCACATAATACAATCATTCCTAACTTTTTTATAACCACTTTTTTACGGGATACAATCTTCCTGTCTCTCGTACAGCTAACCACGTTTTTGCATAACCTAACTGGACAACAGCCTATTGCAAATCAATTTTTAATTCCATAAAAAAAAGCCGTAATAATGCATAACGTAAGTATTGTAAGTATACATATTTCTTCACTGGTATGTAAGTATACATATTTCTTCACTGGTATAAAAATTAAAACATTTTTGGCACGTCTCCATAATGATTTCCTTATAACATTCTTAACTTTCAAAAACTCTTTAAGGATTTCCTATTATTCTTTCATTTTATCTGTGGAAGTTTATTCCATCCGTCTGATTTATTCCATCCCACTGCGTAAAACTCAAAACTAGAATGCGTTTTAATGTTATAGCCGTTACAAATGACCAAACATAGCTAAACAATGATTCCGTTTTTTTACGCAGTGGGATGGAATAAATCAGACGGATGGAATAATCTACTATAGTAGAAGATTATTCTATCCCAATGTGTAAAATATGAAGTTAAAACTAACTTTACAACTTTTTTTTTTTTTCAGGTTGTTAAGATAATGGTCACTTAAAAGTCGTTTACAAATTTTACATTCATATGAATCAAATGTGATTAATACGCAGTAGGATGGAATAAATAAGGCGCATGGAAAAATCTACAGTAGTAGATTATTCTATCCGCTTCAATTATTACATGGAACCACTGATTGCTGCAGTAGATTATTTCGTCTCAATAATAATCTTTCATTAATAACAAATAGAAACAATTTTTGCTTTATTACATTTGCAATAAACCTTCTACATAAAAATTTTTGGCTGGGTGAATAAAAAAAACAATTGCTTTTACCAACGTTTTTTAAGTAATTGTTCAGCTTTACGTGAATAAAAATTTGAGCAAAATCACAAAAATTATTATACGCATAAAGTTAAGCAATTAACTTCAAAAATGCTGAGTTTTTTGCTCAGCTTTACATATATAAAAATTTAAGCAAAATTGATAAAGTTTTTTTTAATGTAAAGCTGACCAGTAGCTGAGTAAAAGTAATTGTTTTTTTTTTATTCACCCGGTTAAAGGTTTTTAACCGGTTGAATAGAGGTCCCCTTTAACCGTTTCGGTTTTCTAAACTTATTTCTACCACTTCATAGCAAAACATTTTAGGAATTATTTTCATATCCTGTTCAATACTCAAAAGCAACACAACTCTAAAAGTTAACCTTTTTTGAGATTTGTAACAAACACACACAAAATATACTGCAATTTTTGTCTGCGCATCTTGCGGTTCTCACAATTCCTGTCTAATTATTTTCTACAATTATTATAAAAGGTCTTTTTTGCCTTTTTTTTAAAATCCCTTTATATTTCTAGGTTCTAGGAAAAATTTCCCCGGGAAAAAACCCACCTGAAAAAATCCCCCCGAGAAAAAATCCCCCTGAAAAATATCCCCAAAAGAAAAAAAAAAAAAAAATTTTTCACTTAAAAATTATCAATATGTAGTTATGTTTATTTCTTTATTTATTTTAAATATTTATATAAAATTCTTACTTTTTTATCAAAATGTCAAGTTATGCCCTATTCTTCGAACGTAGCGAATGTGAAGTGTTACTCACCTCCTCAAGGCCGAGAAGGCCACTACAGACGAGGAGGCTACTTAACAACTAAATTTTTTTTTTAAATAAAGCTTTAAAATACATCATTAAGAATTGTAGAGTTTTTATCATTATTATTTTTATCATAAAAATAATGGTCTAATATGTTTTGTTTCGCAAAAAATGTTCGCATTTTACCGGTTAGCGGTTCGCAGTTCGCATTTTACCGACAACCGAGGAATAGCGCATAACTTGACATTTTGATGAAAAATGAAGTATTTTATAGAACTATTTAAAATAAATAAATATAACTGTTTTATTATTAAATTTTAATTTAAAAAAAAATTTTTTTGTAGGGGATATTTTCCGGGGGGATTTTTTCTCGGGGAAATTCTATCGTGGGGAGGAGGGGGATTTTTTGTCGGGGGATTATTTCGGAGGGATTTTTTCCGGAGGGGGGGGGATTTTTCCCTACCCATAACAAGTATTTAAAAAACCATGCCATTCCCAAAATTAATTTGTTGCTATGCAAACTAAGGTATCCATAGCAACCAATAAAAATACACAATATTTTTTTTAATAAAAAAAAATACCTTCAAAAAAAGCCAAGACCTTATATTAGTACTCGTGCTAAATTTGATGAATATAGCACTAATAATAAAATAGTTCTTGGTGTAGTTAAAGGACTTTTAAAATATTATAGTGTCTGTATAATATTTTGTTGACTAAGACATATTTCCGAATAAATATCTGGTCTTTGAATTATAAAAAGACGAAAAATATTAAAAAGATAAATTTTGCGATAACATAAGATACAAATAATTGTAGCAAAAAAACCGAAGATTCTTTTTTTTTTTAAATCATCTTAAAATCATAATCGATCGTCTAAATTTGAATAAGATTTTATATTAATACGTTTTTTAAGTGAAATAAACATTATAGTTTAACAAAATGATCTGTTCTGATTGTTTATTGTCAATTTTCCATAATTATAAGCTCTTTCTTAGTCGGAATTCTAGTATTTTTTGTGAAAATTGCTAGAAATATTGTGTTTGGACAACTATATATAGTTAATATACGAATCGATAAGAACTAGGATTAGTAGAAAATTAAGAAACTTTTTCAAAAGATTTTAACTAAATTCATGTTAATGCCGATGAGCGAAATCAAAAGACTCTAAAATAGTGTTCTTTAGATTCACTATTACGGGTAGTAAAAAGGTTTTAAAAATTATATATATATATAAAAAAAGAGTCTTTAAATATTTTAAAAACCTTAAGCAAAAAAAAAAAAAAATTATAACATTTAAAGATCTTATTTGGACATTAGTATTTTATAATATGCTGACCTAACCATGCTAATTCCAAAAAGTATTCAAATATTTTGTAAATCGCCTTAACTACACCAAGTTATTAGTTTTGTCTCAAAATTTGCCATTCTGGCCCACTGTGCAGTGGGATGGAATCAATCAGGCTGTTGGAATAAATTACCACATATCACTTCATTCAACATAACTGCCGATGCGATTGTTTTTGTTCGAATTCAGAGTGACTTAATCAATAGGAATATAAAATATGAGATAAAGAAGGATAAACTCGGTAATAGATTTTTAACGTATGATATGCAATATTGTACGTATCATATGCAATATTGCACGACCTTGCACAAACTTATGATACGCAATATTGCACGACCCTATTTTAAAGACAAGAGTTCTTTCATTTTAAATTCATTAAAAAAATAATTAGTAAAATTTAGATTAGAGTTTGTTAAAGTTTACATTTCATCCTTAAATTTATTTTATTCATAATATTTAGTATAAAGAATTTTGTTGCATTGTTTCGGGTAGTTGTAAAAAAAACTCAGGGATTAGAACCCCCAACTAAATTGAAGTTCTAGAACCCTGGGTTTCCGGAACTCTAATGATAAGGGTTCTGGAACCCTTATTGCAAAATAGGGTTCAGAAAATCTTGGAGTTTTAGAACTCTTTAAACTGGTTTTCTGAAATTAAAGTTTTGGAATCCTTCGTGTAAAAAACGATTCAGAACCTGAATAGATTTCAGAGCACCACTTAATCGGGTTTCCGAACCCCGACTTTAACGTGTCGTGATTGCAGGGACAAAGAATAATTTAAAACTAAAAATTTTTTAAAATAAAAAAAAAATACTAACGTAGTTTTTAGTTTTTTTTAAATAAACACCCGGTTTAAAAAAGATGGTTTTGAACCCCTAGGTTTCTGGAACCCTGAAGAACTGGGGATGTAAAAAATGTTCTAGAACTCTTTGAGAAAAAAAAGCCAACTTGTCGCCAATTTTTATTAAATCTGGTATTTGTATTTGTTTTAGATTTTTTAGTCACATCTTCTTAAGAAGATTTCAAAAATTTGAAAAAAAAAAATTCCTGCTACTATTAACTGAAAATATTTTACTATTAACTTGAAATGTTTTTTAATCATAAGATAAAAATGTTAATTTTTTTAATCGTTAACTTTCGTTAACGATTGTTGGATTTTAAAAATTTCTTCATCAAGATTTTTTAAATCTTTTTGAAATTCAGAAGTATCACTTGTTTTTAGAGTAGATATGCAGCTATCGGTTTCATGATCAACGGAACCAATCGCACAACTCAAAGTAGACGAGTCTGTCGTATCTTTAAAGCTTGATAATGAATTTAAATCGGTATTGATTGAATTAAACATTGGTTCAGGATTAATAGAGGATTCGTTTATATGAAATGCGCGTTTAGGCAAGTTCAACGCGTTGACGGGAATGCTTTTTTTAACTAATTGATGAGTAAAGAATTTTTTACTGGGTTCCCGATTAATGATCTTTTTATTGCGTTCTTCATTAATGTCAAGTAAAAGGTTTGTTACGGATTGTTGAAGATCTCTAAATATTATTAAAAACAAATTTAATATGACATTTTAAATGTATAATATGTAGTAATAATAGTATATAACAAATGATAATAACAAATAATATATAATTTTACTTATAATTTAAAAAATAGTATATTTTTTACTTATTGTTTTGCATTGAGCCAATAAACTCAGTACAACACAATCAGTAAAAAGTAAAATCTCTGTATAATAATAATAATAATAATAATAATAATAATAATAATAATAATAATAATATATATATATTTAATTATCAAAAAACCTTATAATAATCTTAAAAAAGTTAACGAAGGTAAGTCTAACATTCCACCTCGCATGCATATATATATATATATATATATATATATATATATATATATATATATATATATATATTATATATATATATATATCTACTATAGCATATTTATATGCGCAATTGCTCACTTTTTTTGCTAGCCTAAATTAAGTGAGCGTTTTTAGAAAACGATGAGGGAAAACGAAGAATAATGAATGAAAAGGTTGCTGACCCATACCAAACCCTCAGTCGATGTAGCAGCACTTCACTGCGAGTCAGGCTATTTGTCAGTCGATGTATGTACTGAAGCCCCCGGCAGCAGACTACTTGACGTTAGGTGAGTATGACATCATCATGCTCACCTAACTCAGCAGTATATGATATAAACTTTTTAATGATTGGAAATAAATTTTTCAAATATCTCAACATTTAAACCTGAACATCTAGTTTCCACCTTAGGCTACTTTTTGTTTTTTTAAATATCTCACTTTATTTAGTCTATAAGCTATACACCAAAGCCCTTAAAATCGTTCTAAACTTTTTTTTTAGATTTAAATCATATTTACTTCACAAATAATTGAATTTGCATTTTGATTTTCAAAACATGAACAACTTTTATTGAATTTAAATCATGACAACTCATATAAAAATAGAATAATAAAAAAACAAAAAGTGCAGTAGAAAAGTACAGTAGAAAAACAGATTAAAAATGAAACTTAATAGTGCATGTCTGAACAAATGAGCTTCAGCTTGTTTACCTGGTTTACAAGTTAACCTGGTTTACCTGGTTAATTTGTTCAATCGATTTATTTCTGTGTCTCTTTGCTTTATAGAAACTTGAAGGATAGTTAAAGATTCTTCATATGATTTGCAACGGGATTTGTACTCTTCAATAACTCTTTGTTTTTCTGCATGTTCTAAATATATTGTAGTTATTTGCTTCATTTCTATACAACATGATAGTAAAAACAACTGAAAAGCTTGTAAAAAATAAAAAAAACCTTCTAATAGCTTGCATCGTTCAATTTGCCATGCATTTAAATTTTCATTAAACTGTGTATCCTGATTTAAAAAATGTATATAAACATATACATACATGCACACATAAACATATACATAAATGCACACATAAACATATACATACATGCACACATAAACATATACATACATGCACACATAAAATTAATCCTAGGATGGTTCACCTAATACAATTCTTAAAAAGTTAGCTTATGTTTTATGTTTTTCTCTTTCATATATTTTTGAGGCTAGTTTTACATCAAAAACACTTTACCCAATCAATGGCGATAACTTTTATCTCCCCAATTTTTGAGCGAGCTTTGCTAAGTACTTTTTTGCGTATGCGACACAATGATCGCAAAAAGTGACCAACAGAGCAGTCCAGTTACATAGACCTGGGAGATGTGAAAAAAAAAAACAGATTCAAGATGATGTCATTTAGGTAGAAAAATATAAATTAATCTAAAGACTATTTCGTAGGAGGAGTAAAAGTTAGCAACTCAGGAAGAGAGGAACCATAACTCACACTCTAGCCATCTTTAGCAAATGATAAAACAATGATCTATTAGTAAACAGGTCAATAAAAATCCGCTGGTTTATTAATGGTACCCATTACTAAAATAATCGCACCTTACAAATGTCTAATAAATGTGTTACTATATATGGTCTAAACTCTAGATAATAAATTGAGAACTAATAATCACCTGTGTAACATAATAATATACAAAAATGTCGTAAATTTAACAAACTCGTAATAAAAAGCTAACAAAGCGCAAAAATTCATGGGTGTAAGAGGTAAAAAAATGTTGGTGCCATAGTAACCAATTAGAATTAATAGACCAATTGTACTTTTTGTTATAAAAACGTGATGAAAAAAATGTGAAGAATTTTGAAGTCTTGAGTTTTGTAGATCTTGCTGTGACTGGTTCAGATTTCTTGCTATTGAACTGAGAATCAACTTTACTTTTTTGGATTTATGAATAGTTTTCTTTCTTTCACTTCCAGGTTTTCTTTCGAAGCTTTGAACAACCTTAAACTTGTTTATAATATTTATGACTGCAGATTTTGTGACGTTTGCACGTTTAGTAATAAAGCAATATGGATTCGATAGATTTAAGAAAAAATATTACAACTTTTTTACGCACCTCAATTTGTTTCAGAAACATTTTGCAAATCATTGATTTGTAAACAAAAGGTTATTAACACAATTAAAGATAAGGAAGTAGCATTTAGTTAAAAAATAAAATAAATAAAAAGCATTTGTGGTTTTAGAGAAATCTCAATTTAAAGTTGACCAGATTTTTCCGTATCCACCTGATATTTAAAACCAAAAGTTTTTTTATTGGAAACTACAACTTTAATTCAAAAGACTTAGACAAAAACAAAAACCAAAACTTAACACAAACAAAAAACAAAACTTAACACAATAATTTCGCAAAAATTATCAAATGAAGTTTCCATGAATGAAAGAATATTTGATGAATAAACTATACTTTTATAGAGATATGTTTCCATAAGTCTTCATTTTCTTTTCTTAATTCTTCTGCTACCTAAAATAAAACAATAATATCATCATTGTAAAACTGTATACTTCATGGCACATGATATTAATACAGGGCATTATAGTTATCTGCAAACATGATGAGCCCTAAACAAGATTTATAATAAAACTTTGAACTCAAGGGCAGACTCAAAAACCAAATACCAAACTTCATAACCAAAGTATATTTAATTATAATTAAAACTAATCAAAAACTTATTGCACTTTAAATTAACATTTATGCTGAGTTAAAAAAAATTATTAAAAATAAAAAAATTAATCTGTATATATATATTCTATATATAAGATAAATGGAGAAAAAATTTTTCTTTCAAAAATATGACTTACAAACACCTTATGCATAAGTAAACACTCTCTTTAACAACTTATAAATATGAAATTTTTATAACAAAAAACTTTCTAAGCACTAAAAAATATTTTTTAGTATTCTAACCAACCCTGAATATTTATAGATTGATAAATTTAAATGTTTTAAGAGTTCAATTAGGAGGAATATTTCAATTAAAAAAAAAAAAAGATTAATTGATAATAACAAATTTTATTACTAAAATTATTTACAAAACAAATATTAATTAAAATGCAAGCAATTCAAAGTCAAAATGCAATAATAATTATCAAAAATATTGAAAACCATATCAAATGTTTAACAGAGAAACATACTGATTTTTAATGTTATTATTACTTCTGTTTAAAGCTGTCATCAAATATATCATTTTGATTTTATTAAGAAATATTAACACTTTTTCTAAGAAAACTTAAATAGATTTTAACATCTTAAATTCTACATTACCAGTAAAAATTTCAAAAAAATTTAACAAAATTACAAAAAAAATATTTAATTCAAAATAAATTTATCATCAAAACTTTACATCCATAAAACTTTCAAGAGATTGTTGATTATCTAAAAAAATTTAATATAATAAAATTTATAATTTTAATACAGTAGATTCAGATTTAAAAACTGTTCAGATTAAAAAACTGTTCATCCAATCCTATTATTGTAGTTTTGTTTACCATGAAGCCTACATAGTAAACTAACCTTTGTGGAAAATAAATGCAGTTCATCTGATGTCAATTGATTGCTTCATATTTTGTGTTTGCTGCTATGGAACTAAATATCTCATTAAAAATGTGTTTTCTTCGATTTTCTTCTGTGCAGGGTTTCACATTCCCTCTCAAGCATCCAACAGTAGTCACCCATCATTCCAGGATCCCATCATCCCTGGCAGTGCTTCTCCATAGTGCCAATGTCTTGATTCTCTGGAAAAAAATACAGATGGCTATGCAAGAAATGTACTTTTAAAGACATCCTAGCACCTAGATCTTGATATGCACTCAGCAATTCTCTGACTTTATCTTCAAAGTTGGGAGCTTTGTGTGGTTCTAGAAAATTTTTGCAGATATCTTTAAAAGCATGTTTAAAAAAGATATCTTTAAAAGCATCTTTAAAAGCATGCTCATTGTGCTATAACATTTAGTTTATTAGGAAACTCTGTATCATTCAGGAGAATTCGAACTTGCGGGCCAACAAATATTCCTCCTTTACTTTGGTGCCACTTAGAGATGGAAAACTTTAATGCACATATTTGAACCCATTGCTCTCTGGATCCATGGCTTTGATAAAGACATGGATCATCACAATTATGTTCAACATCAAAAAGTGAAAACAGTTTTTCAAGATCTGAACAAAAGCACAGCTGATTAACTGTCTGAAAACAGCCTGACAGTTCAGAACTTCTGCTACAAAGGATGTAACTCACACATCACCAGCAACCAAATTCGATTGTTTAATTCTTGATGCTAACAGTTCAGCATTGTCTTTGAACAGATAATCAAATCCTTTATCAAACCATTTAAAATCTTGGTGATTGAGTAGATGAGGCACAGATGACATATATTCTTCAGACAGGTATTCAGTATCAAATGAAGGATTTTCTTATTTTGGTTCCCCTTCTTCTGAAGGTGCTATAATTTGCTTGGCATAGGAACTGGCAACTCAGAACTATGTGGAACTGGTTTTATAGCAGATGCTAAAGTAGGATAATCTGTTTTGTATCTTGTTTTAAAGCTCAGTCCAGTAATTTTGCTCATGCAAAAATAGCAGTCATTAACATGATTTTGTTGTTCACGCCATACCATAAGCACACGTCAGATGCTTTTTCCTACCATTAAACTACAATGCTAGTGCCAAACAACAGTTACTACAGCAAGTAAGGCCCATTTTTGTCCTGATCACCAATGGGGAATCCAAAATAATGAAATTTGCGGTCTCTATCAAAGGTGTCATAGTTTTGCGATGTCCTACTGGAGTAAAAAATCCACAAATGTAGCAAAACAAGTCTAGGTTGTTTACACATTTTCTGGAGGTCATGGTAAATTAATATATAACAATTGTTTGATTACTTTAAAATGATTTAAGTTACTTTGTAGATTTTCATAACTTTTTTCAAAGATTCTAAGCTGTACCAATTCAAGTGCACACAAGATATTTTTAATTAATACATTTATTCTATACCAAATACTGTTTGAAATAGATTAGTGCAGTAAATACAGTGTATACAATTAATATAAAATATAAAATTTAACAAGAATAACATATATACATTTATATTGCACATGTATGCAACATCATAATAGGTTTTTTTTTTAACATTGTATTTTTGGTTGGTTGTATTTTCCCCTACAAATGTAAAATTATCATAGAACCTGTTTATTTTATTAGCTTTAGTTTGGATTAAGATAACTGGGCAAGGAAAATACTCATTTAAAATTACAGGGAAACTGCCTATCTGTAAGATCCAGGGGTCATTTTCTGGATTTCATATTATTGAAAATGTGTTTAAATGTGAAAAAAGTGGTATGGATATCAGAAAAACCTGACCTGATAGAAAGAAACTGAAGTTATTTTTAGAATCAGCACCCACAAATGAAAAAAGAACAGTACCTGGCTTCTTTTTTGTTGTTGACCAGTGTTTTTAGAATGTTTTATAATCTATCTATTTTCAAAAAAGATTGTTTAAAAGTTACAACTATTTTTCTAACTTTACCCAGAACATTATGAAGCTCAGTAACAAGATAAGGAGCTTGATCGCTAATTTCACTTTCCTCCTCCTCATTAACATCATCGCCATCATCATCCTCATTAAAAACATTAAAACTATTTTCAATACCTTCATCATTAGGATTATTAAGATACTGCATGTGCATAACAAAGTTGATATTCAGAAGAATAAACATTACCAAATTTTTCCATAAAAGAACCACCAACAGAGCTTATGATAACTTCATCATATGAAAAACTTAAAGCATATTAAAAATTTTCGATTTTTTAAAATATCTTTTTAATCTGACAGTGAAACAACCTTTCCATAATAAAAACTATAAAGCATGTTTCCATTGTGCTTTATTAACTTTTAAAGATCAAAATAACACTAAACCTTTGTTAAGGTTTTAACTATTTCAACAACTTCAATAGGGATTTTCATGGATTCAGGAAACTCATTGTTGACACTATCAATCTATGAAAACCAAAGGGTGCAAAAGCATCAATGTATCCTCAAGATCAGTACTGTAGTTCTTTCAGAGCTTGGAACTGCTCAAAAAGATTCTATGGATGCTTAAGACAACTTGACTGTTAAAACAGTCACCTAATTCCATAAGTTATAAAATATATATCCTTTTATTGAGGTCATAAAATATGTATCCTTTTATCAAGGTTATAAAATATATATCTTTTTATCGAGGTCATAAAAAAAACATCTTTTTATCAAGGTTATAAAATATATATTCTTTTATCAAGGTTATAAAATATATATCCTTTTATTGAGGTTATAAAATTTATAACCTTTTATCAAGGTTATAAAATATATATTCTTTTATTGATGTTATAAAATTTATATCCTTTTATCAAGGTTATAAAATATATATCCTTTTATCACTGATTCACATTTGCTACAAAGTCCTCATTTGACTACAAAGGTTTCAAAATATATTTCCTTTTATCATTGATTCCTAATTAAACTCAATAATAGTAAAAAATGGAATTTCATAATTTGAAGAACTTTTACACGCCTTGTGTCTTACACGTTGTCTTCTGTGTCTCACACTTAGCTACTATCTTTGTTACCAAATATTTTTTCATTAAAGACCTTCTTTTGCAAAGTCAAAACATTTGATAGTAATTTGGTGATAAAAAATCAATAACAAAATCAAAAATAATAATAAAGTAATACTACTAAATACCTGAAAACCCCCTGATTCAAAGGCTGTGTACATAAAGTGGTATTTGGTGACAAGTTATATAAATTAATAGCTTTTAGTCCTAAAATGTCTATATGTACAGCTCAATTATTGACAATCATTAAATTTTTCTTACATTTCAAACTTACAATCCAGCTTGTTACAATCCTTGCACAACAATTTCTTAAAAAGTAATTCTTTCATGCTGTTTTTGAGATCAATATCTACAAGAAAGATTACAAATGAGCTTTAAGAATCTTGGACTGAGAGATTTCCTAATAACAAACATTTAAACTTTTCACCTTCTGGAGCCTTGGAAATGTAAATTTAATACAGGAAACAAAAACACAGATAAAAAAACTAGATTTTTAACTCATAATCACAACTTTTTAGTAAACTCCGGCTAAAAAATACAGAACACTCATATTTCTTTATAGTTATACATTTACTGTTGTAAATAAAGCTATGTATCTTGTAGAATCTTTAATTTATTATTAATTTTAATTTATTACTGTGCTTATTTATCTTATTTTCCTGTCACTTGTATCTTGTATTTTATCTTTCCTGTCACTTGTATCTTGTATTTTATCTTTCCTGTCACTTGTATCTTGTATTTTATCTTTCCTGTCACTTGTATCTTTTATTTTATCTTTCCTGTCACTTGTATCTTGTATTTTATCTTTCCTGTCACTTGTATCTTGTATTTTATCTTTCCTGTCACTTGTATCTTGTATTTTATCTTTCCTGTCACTTGTATCTTTTATTTTATCTTTCCTGTCACTTGTATCTTGTATTTTATCTTTCCTGTCACTTGTATCTTGTATTTTATCTTTCCTGTCACTTGTATCTTGTATTTTATCTTTCCTGTCACTTGTATCTTGTATTTTATTTTTCCTGTCACTTGTATCTTGTATTTTATCTTTCCTGTCACTTGTATCTTGTATTTTATCTTTCCTGTCACTTGTATCTTGTATTTTATCTTTCCTGTCACTTGTATCTTGTATTTTATCTTTCCTGTCACTTGTATCTTGTATTTTATCTTTCCTGTCACTTGTATCTTGTATTTTATCTTTCCTGTCACTTGTATCTTGTATTTTATTTTTCCTGTCACTTGTATCTTGTATTTTATCTTTCCTGTCACTTGTATCTTGTATTTTATCTTTCCTGTCACTTGTATCTTGTATTTTATCTTTCCTGTCACTTGTATCTTGTATTTTATCTTTCCTGTCACTTGTATCTTGTATTTTATCTTTCCTGTCACTTGTATCTTGTATTTTATCTTTCCTGTCACTTGTATCTTGTATTTTATTATAACTGCCTGTCACATGTATTTTAGTTTCTGAAATATACATCTTATTGGGCTTATTTAAAATCTTATTTAAATATCCAGCTGTTTCTTTGCATAATTTGTGGCACATTTTGCTAACAATTTTATTTTTATATATATATATATATATATATATATATATATATATATATATATATATATATATATATATATATATATATATATATATATATGTTTATATACAATGGATGTAATTTCCTAATATATTTTGTGTGTCTAGTTTTTAGATGTGCACTTTAATTTTTCAGAAAACAAATAAAAAACAAACAAAAAAATAACAAAATGATTGCTGTCCCAACCCAAATCCTCAATCAATATAGCAACGCACCTTACATGTTATTCCAATTTACTCAGTTCATGTAAATATTACTGAAAAAATAACTGAAGTTACCATTATGACTTCCTGAACTTGATTTGATAATTTAAAGTTATTTTCTTCTTCAATTAGTATTTTCTGATGCAGTTCATTATTATCTGAAACAAATTAAAAAGAAAAAATAGTATAAAATGACTTTGAAAAATAGCTGCATAAACATTAAAAAAAAAGTGATTGTTTTTCATTAAAAAAAGAAATTAATTGATTAATGCAGCATTGTATTTTAGGATGTTTAAAAAGCTTTTTATATAAACAGAGATAAAAACACCTTACACCCAAGAGTTTATATTCTTACATCTTAGAATTAATATTATTATCCTTGTTCATAAGATCACATTACATAGAAAAATTCCTAAAAAGTCTTCTGATAAGACCTCGAAATATTTTTTTATCTAGCCTTGTTAATTGGATTATCAATTCTAAAGAATCTTTCACAAATAGATGTCACCCCTTCTATTTAGATATTTATGCTAATTGAGTATTTACCTTTTTTAACTTGTGAGTAGGCAAAACTTAATTCTTATGTGATAAAAAAACATTTATAAAAAAAAGATTACCCCAAAAGTTATTGGATTTAAAAAATACTAAGCTTATTATTTATCACTGGACTAAAAACTCGTTCAATCAAATATATTGCTGACGGGTAATTCTATGTTAATTGACCAAGAAATTTTCAAAAAATATCACCCTGAATCTCAGATTTTGCTGATTTTTATACAGTTGAGAGTACGTAGTAAAATAAGAATTCCTTGAAAATTTTAGCCTCTAACTCCAAAAAAATTCTGAAATATGATAATTTTACTTTTAGCAGATTATAGCCAGACCCATCTTGCCTCTTCAGAATCAAAACGTTTATTTAAAGGTTTCAAATCACATAACTTTAAAAACATTTGATCTTTTTATATGTAAAAATTGTATTTGGCTATTTTCTGGGGTAAAAAATTCAATTAAATGATCAGAAATGTAAAAAATTATTATTAAGTACCTGTAATTCTTAATTTAAATAAATTTAGGCAATTTTTTGAATACCTGTTTTTAATGCTCAAGAAACCCAAGTGGTCTTGATGATATCAAAAAAATAAAAAATAACACATCAATTTATATTCATTAATGTTTCAGAAAATATAAAGAGATTTTGATCTAAGAGGATATGGATTTCCACATATGGATTATGGGGCATGGTCCCCACTTTTTTAAAGTGGAATATTGCAATTGATTTTTCACTACCTTCCAGACTAGCCGGAGCTCTGAAACCTTTGGAATTTCTGTAATGCCAATGAAAGTGCATGTTAAAATTGTATCCAGGGCCAAGGAGAGTGTGGGGGGCAAAGGCATGTACCCCACTTTTTTGTAGCAGAACCTTGCAATAGATTTTTCACTACCCATTTTATAAAAAATATTATAACACATACAAATAAAAGAATATTAAAAAATCTAAGTATTTCTGACACAATCATTAAGTCTAACTGTGTGTATTTCCTAGGCTTTGGAAAAATTTGAAAAAATTTAGAAAATATAACTTTTTTTCAATTTTCAATTATTAAAAACCATTAAATTGTTTTGACTAGACAGACAGACAAAAAAACAAATTTTAATTCTAGTTTTCATGAAATTTTAAATTAATGTGCTTTTGAAACAAAAAAATCATCAATTTTAATAGTGGAATTAAAATTTATCAAATTTTAATTCCACTATAAAATCTCTTTAATTAACACACTTTTATAATCAATTACTTTAAGGTACTTATTATAGAAGAGCTTTAATAAGTAAAATAAAATAAGTAAAACAATATAAAACTGAAAAATTTATAGGTTAATTAGGCATTTTTCCTCAAACAAAAAGACAATGGAAAACTTTACAATATATAGATATTTGCAAAATCTTACTACAGTAAAGAGAACTAGCGTTGTCTGCCAAAAGACTGTACAATGGGCAAAAGATTGCATCGCAGCCCATAAATGAACATTATGTTTAAACGCTAGTGAAGAAGAGAAACGAATGTTTGCAAAGCAAAATCATCTATCAACTTCAACAACATCATAACCTCAGCTGAAATAAATTTTAATGGTTTTAGTTATAAACATATTATCATACAAATTTTAAGTTATTAAATTAGTTGAATACATTTATTAACTTATAGTTAACAATTATTGTTATTACTATTATTATAAGTTGTTCAATTATAAATAACTATAATTGAAAATTTATTTAGTTTTAGTTTTTTTTTTCCAGAATTAATACATTTTCAAGTAGCTGCAGTAAAAAGAGGATGAAAACTCAATAACAATTTTCAAAAAATTCAAAATAAAAAATCTAAAGGAGATCTAAAGAGACAATCACCATCATAGATTATATATCATAATATATACAATCACCATCCTTGAAAATATAGCATAATATGATATGACAATATAAAAAACCACCATATGGATTAAAAAAACTGAAATCTGTCCCTTACAGTATCATTCCATTACAGTAAAAGTTTTAAGAACTAGTACAATATTGCATACAATGTTGCATACTTGTATCAAAAATGGGAGAATGAGTTTTGGGTCTGATTATGTTAATCTAGCATCCTAAAAAGCTAGCATATGCTAGCTTTTTAGGGCAGTGACAAGTTTTTGAAGGTTAACATTAATTAATAGGTTTCTGAAAGATTAGGCTAGGGCAGCAATAAGTTTTAAATGAGCGCTAACTTATTGCTGCCCCAACCAAATCCTTGGTTGATCTAGCAACAAATACTTTGCATGTTCTCTCTATATTAGATGATGTATGTATTGAAGTCTTTACAATTCCTTTAATCAGTATGACATCAGATTACCGATCTTTTATATTTGTATGTGCGCATGTTATATGTATGTATGTAAAATATACTATTACATATGTAAATATATGTAAAATTTAACAATTGGTTTGTAACTATGTTATGAGAAAGGATATATATATATATATATATATATATATATATATATATATATATATATATATATATATATATATATATATATATATGTATATATATATATATATATATATATATATATATATATATATATATATATATATATATATATATATATATATATATATATGCAAACCTTTTTGATTTATCGTTTTTTTGCTCAGCTTTAACTTTTCAAGCTCTTGATGAAAGTATTGAAGATTCCTTACATAAAGCATAATGAATAATATATTATGATCAAATTAAAAATTTAAAAAACTTTAAAAGATACCAAAATACCATAAATATAGAAATAAAAAATATCCATTTAATAATATAAATATAAACATAAAAACTAAGAATAAAATTTGTATAATTATAATATATTTAATAAAGATTTTTACTGATTGTAAACTGTTAATAAACATTGTTTAAATCTCACTGAATAAATAATTTGCATTTTTGATATATAATAATTATACAAATATATATTATTTATGATATATAATAATTATACAAATATATATTATTTATGTAAAAAAATTAACTTATCAACTAACATAGAACTGATTATTCTAGAATAATCATGTTCTTATTCAGGTGGCATGATTATTTTAGAAGAATCATGCCACCTAATTACTAAAATAAAATTTTACTGTTTAAGATTAGCATTCTCTATCTTTAGTAAATCTAAGTCATTATTGCATTCATTAACAGCTGAGTTTGCCATTGAAAATGGTATTAACTCAACAGTATGATCTATTTCTTCAAACAGCTGATTTAATTCGAAACCACATGCTTAAAAATAATTATTAAAAATGTCATTAAGTGCAAGTCAATAAAACAAAATTTAGAACAACTTTTTTTAAAAAAAACCTTTAATGTTCATCATATCACGCAATTCTTTTAACAAGTATTTCAAAGTAGTTAATTGAGTGCTGCTTGTTTCTGACGGATTTAGGTAGACTGGTAATTTAGTGTTACTTTTTTCTGATGGTTTTAGGTAAACTGGCAATTGAGTGCTGCTTTCTTCTGATGGATTTAGGTACACAGACAATTGACTAGGAACAAAAAGTGGGGAAATAGTTTTTTTATTCTTTTTTTCAACTGAATCAAGTTCAATTACACTTTTTAATGATGAAGGAACTGGTAAATTGATAATATCGGATTTAGTTTCTTGTTGAAAATTAACAACATTGCTTTCAAGCTGATTATCATTAGAACCACTTTTTGGCTGAATAAGAACATTTGGATTTTTTTCTTCAAGGTCAATGTCATTTATTTCTTTCATGTTTACAGTATTGTAATTCAATTTTTTAGCTTGACATACATTTTTGTTCAATTCCAAATTTTTTCCAGATATTGTATGATCATTATATACCCGATCGCAAGTCAATGTTTTTAATAGGGTTTTGTCTTCATTTAAAGATAATTTTTCAGTTATACTTTTCAAAAGTAAATTTAGACTGACATTTTCTTTAGAAATATTTGAATCTTCAAATAATATTTTTTGGCTGCTTGCACCTTTATTTTCATTTATTGCATGCATAGTTGCTTTGATAGCATCATTGTAAATACCCTAAAGATTAAATTTTAAATTAAATAAAAAATACTTTAACAATATATAAACTAAATAATCTAATTACAATTTTTTAAAAAGTAATATATCTAAATGTTGCACTTGTTGTTTTGGTTGAGCATCTGAAAACTCTGATGTAACAACATGTGACACATTGCTAAAAGCTGGTGTTGAAGATACAAGCCTCTTGTTGAACAATGGCTTTGCAATTGTAGTTTTTACTAAAAAAAATTTATATATATGTATATATATATATATATATATATATATATATATATATATATATATATATATATATATATATATATATATATATATATATATATATATATATATATATGTATATATATATATATATATATATATATATGTATATATATATATATATATATATGTATATATATATATATATATATATATATATATATATATATATATATATATATATATATATATATATATATATATATATATATATATATATATATATATATCTATATCTATATATATATATATATATACATATATTTTAGAGATGTGCCAGAACCAGTTTATGCAGAGTACCTGATTCCGGGTACCCGGAGGAAAAAACCGGCACCGAGTCCATATTAAAAAGGTGAAATAAAAACTTAAAAAATCTCTAGCCCTGAATTGTTTTCACAAAATAACACTGATTAATTTGTGCTAATTAAGGTTGCCTAAATATATAAAGTTTCTTAGTATTAAATAATAATTAATAGGTTGTAAATATTTGCAATAACTTGTCATCTTACGTTGTTAATGCCAAAATCATCAAGAGCTTTAAATTAAAATTAACTCCATCAACTTCAAAAAACACTGTTCCAGCTAACTAAAGTTCGTTTTATAATAGTGGTATAATATATAACTTATATTTTTTTGTAATTTATTGCTAAATAATCGTTAATATGTGCTAATTAATCATGTTATGTTATGGAAAATAAAAGATTAAGAAAATTGCAACAAAAAAAAAAAAAAAAAAGTAGACCATGTCATGTGAATAAAATAAAAATATATTTAAATATATAGTAAACAGGGGTTTGTGGTTATTGATTTCATAACACTCTTAGACTTATATCAAGAAGTTTATTGGTTGAAGTTAAAACTAAAAGCAATCCTGTTAACAATATTTTGACACAATTTAAAGCACCACATAAACAGATTGTTACAGCATTTAAGGTAAGTGTTTATTAAAAATTTCTTTCAAGATACCTGGGTACCTGGGAAAACAGCCAAATTACTGGGTCCGAACCAGGTACCCGGCACATCACTAGTATATATATATATATAAATATATATACATATATATTTATATATATATATAGAATGTTTTGTAAAGAGTTGCGGTGATTGGAGTTTGGGGACAAAAAAATTTTTGGGCCCACCCAGCCATTAATATGGGAACAACAAGTTTATAAAATATTTCTTTAGTATTTTTATCTAAGTTTATATTCATCATCAAATTTCAAATTTCATGCAATAATCTCTTATTTTTCAAAAATTATGACCATATAAAGTTTTAAACCCCCTCAATTTGAGGGAGCTGTAAACTTTGTAGGGTCATAAAAACTAAACACTAAGAGGTTATTGCATGAAATTTGAAACTTGTTGATGAATATAAACTTAGTTAAAAATACTCAAGAAATTGTTTTATAAACTTGTTACTCCCACATTAAGGGCTGGGCAGACCCAAAAATTGGGGGTTTTTTGTCGCCAAGCTCCAATCACAGCAACTCTTTGCAAAACATTCTCATTTGACATAAGCATGAACATGCAAACGTTTGGAGTTTGCACAATGCCTGTAAGTGTCAAAACTCAAACATTTAAAAATCCATTGTACACTACTGTACATACATATATAACAATCACTTCACTTGCATAAAAGCTTTAAATTCTCACAAAAAAACTTGTATAAAATAAACAGTTTTTATAAACTTATATAAAAAAAAAATTAATTTACCTGCTATTTCCACATCAGGTACTACCTTTTTTCTACTTTTTTTTTGCGGAACACTTGCTTGATGTGAAACTAAAAAAATTAGTTTTGATTTTTATTCAAATATATTATTCTTTTAAAATTTTCTCATATCTAAATCATTTTTATGTATCAGTAGATTAATTTCTTCCTATATAAATGGCTTTTAAGTGCAACTAAGTAATTTTTCAAGCAAGATTTAATAGAGCAAACACTAATTTTATACCATTACAAAATCAAGTTTTAATTTAAACTAAAAAGAATTTAGAGATTTACAAAAGGCTGTGTCAGAAATTAAACAAAGTCTGTGTTGTAGAATACTTTATAGAAACTAAAAAAAGGCAGTATCATAGAATACTTTTTAGAAACTAAAAAAAGTCTGTGTTGTAGAAAATTTGTATAAAAATAAAAAAACTTTAACTGGTAGATTTGTATCGAAACAATGTTTGAGATTTACCATGTTTTAGATGAAGGGTAAAAATATTTTTCCTAAAACATCAAACTGATATCACATGACTACTTAAATACTAACCACTACAAAACAGCAAACCACAACATTAAGATTAGATCAAGATTACCACAGCATTAAGATTGATCAAGATTACCACGACATTAAGATTAGATCAAGATTACCACAACATTAAGATTAGATCAAGATTACCACAACATTAAGATTAGATCAAGATTACCACAACATTAAGATTAGATCAAGATTAGACAGATTTTTTTGAAGCATCTATAGGTCAAAGCTATTTTCCACAAACACCACCGTCAATATAAACAAAAAAAAAATGACACAATGCAAAAAGATAAAGAGGATAATACATTTAATTATTTGAATGCTTTTGAGATCCAAAAGCTGAATGAAACTCATTAACCATTTGTAAATAAAAATTTTATAAGATGGATTGGAAGACAAAATGAAAAATGGATACAAATTTCAACTTTTAAAATCAACAGTTATAAAAAACTATACTAAAAAATTTAAACCTTAACTTTTTTTAGTATACTAATTATTAATGAGAGCAAGTTATTAACAAATATGGTATTTATCAAAAGATCCAGAAAGATTATTTTTAAATGTGGTTTTATCTGAAAAAAAAAACCATTGGCCTAAATGCATGAAAAAAATCATTAGCGCTGACAATTTTTTTCTCAGAATTTTTAGTAAAGAAAATTGTCCAGCTGCTTTTTTCCAATATAGATTATAATCACAAGTTACAAATTTTTATAAAAATTTGTAATTTGTACTGTAAATAGTTAAAACTTTAAGTGTAAATAAAAAATAATAATAATTTAAATTTCAAGTGTAAATAAAAAAAAAGTTAAAACTTTAAGTGTAAATAAAAATAAAACAAAAATTAAAACTTGAAGTGTAAAAAAAAAAAAAAAATCAAGTGTACAAAATATACTAGATATAATAAAATTTAAGAAAATAAGTAAAATAAATATACATAAATATATACTTAAAAAAATAGAAAATTTTAAACACCAATTTTTTTAATTTAGTAAAACTAATTTTTCAAATAGCAATTCACCCAATTTATTTAGTTTTTTAGCCATCATATAAGATTTGGAGCACTTGATGTAAATGTAAATAAATGTACAAGGTGTACATCATATTTTTATTTTTAAGAGGTTTTTAAAAAATGTGGTACTAAATTAAAAAATATATGACATTTATTTAAAAAAAAAAAAAAATTTTTTACTTTTGGCTTTATTAACTTTTAACCTATTTTTGTTTAATTTATTTTTATTTTAAATTGCTATACATTAGACCTTTTCATAAATATTTCCAAAGGAGAATCAAGATTTTTCAAAGTGACACTGTGCTTGTTAAAATTAAAAAAATTCAGCATTAAGCTATTACATTGTCAGATTCAAAGTGAAACAACGTAGTATTTTCTTTATTTACTTTATAAATTTAAACCTTTAATTAGTATATTATTGTTTCTAGAACAGTAATATACACATATGAAATAAAATATAGAGTTACTCTCATTCAAAAAGCCTATAAACACTTTTGACATACTTGAGTAGATTTTAGTATCTTAATATTATGTTGCATTTTTATTACTATCTTTTTATTAGAAACTTTAAAAAATAATTAAAAAAAAAAACTCTAAACTCAAATATAAAATAATTGATTTTGAAGATATAAAATTTTAAATGACATTATCTTTAGCAGTCATTTCTGAATTACATTAACAATAAGATAGTTTGCTACATAACAGATAGAATGAACATACTTCACATACCTACCTCCCCATGATTTGTTTTCCTGGTCTTTTTTTGCTTTGTGAATACTCTTAATGAGTATATCTTGAGTATAATCCTAATGAGTATACTCTTAATGAGAGGGTTTAAATTTTATTATAGGCTTTAAAAAAAAACACGAGAAATATTATGCAACTGTCATGTATGTTAGAGATATTTGTGCTATGTGTTTACATAATCAATTAGGTAAATCTAACGCTGTTAAAAAGAAGAAAATATTCTTTCTTAATGTGGAAAGATGTTAAATTCTCTTTAGAAATAAATAAATCAGATGAAGGTTTAATTAAATTAAAAGTATGCAGTAAAAGTGTGCGTATTATTTTTTTTTTGCTCTAAGAGCAATTTTTAAATAAATTATTTTTCTAGCGTTTACTAAAAGATATTGAAATAAATAAGGAAAAAGTATGGAAATGGTTGGTGTCGAATAGATTTACCAAGACCAGTATCTTACAGGTCTGGCTGGCTAGTACTAAAATAATAATAATAAAAATTTAAAACTTTTTATGCTTAAAAACATTTATTTTCAAATTGTTTTTTATTTCCTTATTCTTATTTACATATATTTAATTCATTTGTAAACATTTTAAAACTAATTAATTTAGGAAAAGAGTTTCTTTTAAATTTTTTTTTCATTAATAGAATTTATATTTTAAAGGATTTTATTCTTATTTTAAACTATAAAAAAAATTCAAACCTTTAGGTGAACTTAACAAAGCATTAAGAAGACTTGCACATCGATCAAGACCATTGTTCATTGACGTTATCTAAAAATCATGAAAATAAACTTTATCTTAAGATAAAGAAATTATTATTTTTATTAAACTTAGATTGATAAAAACTTAATTATGATATAAAGAAATTATTATTTTTATTAAACTTTGTTAATATATTAGAAATAAGCATGAGGCTATTTTAAATGTCATCATAACTAAGTTTTTTATGTATTAAAGTTAATCTTTAATACATAAATGTATCTCTGTATAACAAAGATCTAATGAAGCAAAAAAAATTTTGTTAATCTTCTTTTCTAAAGAAAAAAATTAGAAAGACCTCTTTAGTTCTACATCCTAATTAACAGAGATTGTAGCTCATACATATTTTCTTTATCCAAAACAACAAACTCAACTTGGATTTATTTTGATTTTTTCTCATGTTTTTAGTATTCTATGCAACAGAAGACAAGTTGCATTAAAATATTAATTTGTTTGGGTTCTCATCAAAAACAGTCAAATGTCAAATGAGCAAATAAATAATTGACCACTTTCACCTTTTCAACCAAAATATTAATAAATAATAAAACAAATTATTTACTTATTTTTTAAATTTTATTATAAAAAAAACAACATTTAAAAACCAAATAAATGGTCATCATTTATTTAATTAACTTTACCATCCTTAACAAAAACTAATTTTAGCAGTGTCTATTTTTTATCAAACATTCTATCAATATCCTATTCCATATATCTTTGCTACGTTGTATTTGCTTTTTGGTAACACAGCATCTAATAGCTGCAAATCCAACTGCATTCATTCAAAAAATTGAAATCTGTACTATATGAATTTTCTGGAAAAATTCTAATTTTTTTTTCATTCATGAACTCAGTGCTATCTTCACTCTTTCTGACTTGTTCTTTCTATTTATTACTTTTAATTATTCTTTTACTACTTTTGTCTTTTTGCTCTTACTTGTCAACCACATATTTGAATTTTACTTTTAATTCCTATATTGTTAATCATCACAATAAGACTTTTAACAGGATTCGATTAAGCATTTATGATATGCTATATTAAATAATCTATTAATTGAGAGATAAGAGATGTAACCTCAACCATTTTTAAAATGCTTCAAAAAAATACTATTTGATAAAACTATTTGATACTAAATATAATTTAAATAAATTTAAATTAAACTGAATAAATTTGAATAAATTTACATATATTTGAATAAATTTGAATTATAAAAAAGTCAAGTAAAAAGTCAAGTAAAAAGTCAAAGCGTGCGATTTATAATTCTGGGATTTAGATAAAAAATCAAGTTAAAATAAGTCAAACGCTTATAAGTTAATCAATTTAAAAGAAGTAGAATTGCGATTGCAATTGCTTTTCACACCTTCATGATTAGTTTTTAAAAAAATATTTTAGCGATTTGTTGTTGTTTTTTTTTGTTTTTTTAGTTAAATTTTTTCTTGTCTAATTTAGTATTTTTTTTGTCAATTCTTAAAAGTAATGTTTTTGTCTAAGTTTTTTATTAGGGGTCATAAAGTACGCTAAACTTATCTTTTAAATAAAAATATAATCTTTACTTTTTTGTTTCGAGATTTTATTCAACATAAAACATTTTGCACTTAAACTACTTTAAATCTCTGCGTGGAAGCCAATATTAATAAGTATCAGTAAATAAAACTAAATATATATTTAGTTTGATTTAAGGAATTGATAAAGTAGTAAATCTTAATATCAGTATTAGTGTTAATAAATCTTTACCTTTGAACAAAATCAAAAGAACCAGTTACCACGGTAACTTACAGTTACTTAACTATTAAATTTATTTAATATACTTAAAGACTATCAAAATTTAGCCATATAAATGTTTCTATTATTATTTTATATGTTGTTAGGGGCTGTTCATAAAGAACCTCACCATTTTTTAGACAATTTTTGACCTTCCCCTTTCCTTTGTCACCAGTTGTTCTTTTTTTCTTTTTCCTATACCCACTTAAAAAGGAGTTCATAAAATTAGCCCCCCCCCCCCACTCCCTTCATTAAAAAAAAAAATCCGTTCTTAATTTAAGCATTTTTAATAAAGGTTTTTACATGAATTACACTTTTCTGTGTTTGAATATAATTCAGTAACTTATTGGGCATTTCCAAATTTGTTTCAATTGTTTGTTCTTGTAGGCCTCTCTGAAAAAAAAAAAAAAGTTATGTTATTCTTATTTTATATATTAAATTTAATCAAAGCGTGCCATTGAAACATACTCACTCTTTGTCCATCCAGGAATTTTTGAAATAATTGTCAATTGGTATGACTGAAATAGGGCAGTCGGATTCGTCTAAAATAGTCGCATAATTAGAAATATTAAGGCTCCCCATTTCAATTTTGTCCTAATCTAACCATTCAGCAAAGGCTGCATTTTCTTTTACCACAATTACGATCATTCACGCAAACAGGTCTAACTTGAAATAGGGTAAAAGCCATTTGATTAAAAAAATTGGAATAAGTAATGCTGACATACTTCTTTAACAAGGCTTAAAGTGCATAGTATTAGTTACAATGCTTACAGATTTTCTAAGCCAAACTTGATTGCTCAAAAGGAAAAAATAATTCGTAAGGAGGAAGTTTAATGATCAAGGACTGGTGCTCTGAATATTGGAGGTGATAAGAAAAAATACAGAAAGAAAACAATTCTTGTTGATGATGTACAACTACAGCTTTGAAGCCATCTTTTGACTGGCAGATTGGAATAGGTGAAGAAATTGTCTGGGAATAGCATGGAAATAAGACATCCTTTTCAAAGAATAACATCCAGGATCCTTATATTTCACAATTTCCGTGGAATATTAGCTGATGCGCACATGAGAGGCAAACCATTCATGATCCTTCAATAAGAAATGACAAGCATTGAGCTCTGTCTGTCTGGATCGATATACTTAACCACTGTTGGAAACTGATTAATCATCAGACCTGAAAAAATTGAGGCACAGATCTTTCCAACAAAATCAAAATTCTGATTCTCCAAAATAAGATCCACTGTCCTACCTTAAATATAAGTTGCAATGCAGATAATTAATTCTTTAAGTCTTGCTATATATATCTTATTTTGATAAAGAGTTGATATAAAAAATGAATTTGAATTCCTTGAGAGTCTAAATGAGCTCCATAATGATCATGAGAGAGAATCTATCCCGCTAAATCAACACTGAAGACCATTAGCTTGAACAACTTGGTCAGAAGGTCTTTGTAATGGAATCGAACTCTGGCAGAGTCAAAAATTGTTCAAAGTCAAATCCATGAGCAAACGCTGTTGATGATGAATGCTTTCCAGATTGAACAGCAACATATGTGGGACTGAAAAACAAAGCTGCGTCAAATTTTCCAAGCTCATCTGGTTTGATTTCAATGCCAAGGTAGAAAGACAAGATGAGCTTGTGCTTTGCAACGATAACCCAATCATGATTAGGAAGAGAAACTTGATATTCCATATGCATTAATATAGGAGCTTGTTTGTTAGCAGCAATGATTCCAATTGGGATCCGAGCTTTATTGTCTTGAATTAAAAGCACATATCCTTGGGGCCTAAAAAAAAGAAAACTTCTTCTATATTCGTTATAGTTTCTGTACAAAATCATACATGGATCATCCATATGATCATTTAAAGCTTGCATTAAATTGACTAGAACTGTGTGGACATGACTCTTTCCTTTAAACAATTAGCTCTGTTTTGGCATCAACCAAGTGTATAATGCATTCTGCTAAAATGGTAGCCTCTCTTTCCAAGCTCGGCACCAAACTCATCCAACATTTTGAGGCTCCTTATAAAGTAAAAAATTATAAGTGAATAAGTTAAAAGGCTAAAAAGTTATATTTAGGTTTAATATAGTTCAATAGAATCTTTTATTAGCTAAAGTTATACTCAAATTGCCTCTTATCATGGGCAGCAATACTTCAATAGTAGGGCGACCAATCCCATCATGTACATGTATATAATTAATTGTAATATATTCAATATATATATGTATATATAGACATATATATAAATATATATATATATATATATATATATATATATATATATATATATATATATACATATATATATATATATATATATATATATATATATATATATATATATATATATGTATATATATATATATATATATATATATATATATATATATATATATATACATATATATATATATATATATATATATATATATATATATATATATATATATATATATATATATATATATATATATATATATGTATATATATACATATATATATATACATATATATATATATATATATATATATATATTTCTTATGACCCCTCCCCTCCACTTTGTCTTTTTTTATTTTAACCCCATTTTTTATCTTAACATGAAATCTCGAATAGAATATAAAAAACATGATACAATTTTTTTATATTTTATTTAAAGCAATATCAAGATCAAACATTTTCTAAATACGCAAGTTGTTTTGGGAATTTTATTTAAAAAAAAATCTATTTGAACAAAAAAAATTTTAGTCTTCTAAAATTCTTTTATTCAAATAATTTTGCAATTGAAATTTGAAATTGAAAAAAAATTGCAAAAATTTAAAATTATTTTTGCATACCCAGCAAGAATCGTTGCTGTTAAACATATATCTAGCTACAGTAACAATATCAGATTTAGAACATAACGTGAGGAAGAAAGTTTTATTTAAATAGTATAATTAATTATAATTGAATAGTTATAATAATTATATTTTATTTCTTAAAAATAGTTTAAAAAGTAGAAATTACAAACATTAAACCAGTGATTGCAAAAGTTAAAATAAAAATTAAATTAGAAAAAATTCAAAATAAAATTAATAAATTATTTTACTTCTGTCTAAAGAAATTTTTATTTATAAAAATGATTTAAGTATATTCTTAATAAACTTAAAGATATATAGTTCGATTTATTAAACCAAATTTTTTTGTTTCAAATTTTATTGCAAACAATTTGAATGAAAAAAACTAAATAAAAACATAATTTAAAAACCATTTGAATAAAAAACTTAATTATACTTAAATTTTCAATAGTACGCTAGATAACTAATTATAAAAAACTTAGTATCTAATGTTTTTTTGCTTTGATCTTACTTGTTTTGTCTATAGATTATAGACTAATATGATCTATAAGCATGTTTTTTTAAGCATGTTTTTGCCAAATGTAAAGTTTAAAGTTTTATTACAATAATGTTTTAATTTATTAAATTTTTTTTTTTGCAATTAGATTTTTTTGCATTAATTCAAGCCCTGAACAGTAAAATAGGCTTTAAATAAAGGTTTATTATTAAATTATATAAAAATAGGCTTTAAATAAATAAATGATTAAATATATAATAAAAAATTTCGTACTTTATCTACTTCAGAACCAGATGAATAGAGATATTTGTAATGTGGCGGATCATGTTTTGTAATCTTCCCTTGTCTGAAAAATTTTTTTACTAATTTTAATTTTATAAAAATTTTTTACTTTAAGCTATGTAAACAATATGCATACAGTATTACAGTAAACAGTACTCACATAAAACAGTACACATTAGTATATATGACATTCTTAAAATTGCTTGATAAAATTTTTTTGCTATTTTAAGTATTTTTTGTTTTATTGTTTTGATTTTTAAATTTTTTTTTGCTTATTTTTTTTTTTTTTTTTTTTTACATAAATCACGCAGATTTGGTCAGATAAAGAGAAGCATATGATAAAGAGAAGCAACCTAAGCAAATGCAAACTTTGCGATCAATTGTAGATCTGGTTTCCATGAATAATCAGTAGTGGATGATAATCCAAAAAGATGTAAACAAGAGGAACCCTCAGTGAGAGGGTTGCCAATATAGAAAAGAAAATAATATAGAAAAGTAGAATGTCAATAGTAGTGCAAATATTGTTTGAAGTAAATAATTGAGTTTTGTTAGAGTTAAAACTCAAAAGCCACTGCAAGCCCCAAGCTGTTAAAAGAGAGATCAAATTCAATTTGAATCTGATCTCTCTTCTGAGATTGAAAACAATCAAAAAGAAAACTTTTTTGTCTAGACAGAATAATAAAGTTGAGATCTTAGTAAATAGAGCTACTTTAGATGTAAGATTGTCATGAAGATCATTAATATAGATAAGAAACAATACAGGATGAAGGATAGAACCTTGAGTTACCCCAGAAGTTACTGGAAATGAAGAAGAGTGTTTTGATGGTGCCTCTAATACTGCAATTAGAAAGATATCAATGATATAAGATACATCATATATAACAAACTTTTGGAGAAAACTAGCATGATAAACTTTATCAAATGGAAAACCCTTTGCCCTGCCGCCTCGATCTAACGCACATTTAGATTCATTATGTCACAGCAGTTAGCAAGTCAGCCATAGAACAAGTAAACCATATTGATTGTCAGAGAGTTATTAGACTCAAGATGTGATTTTAGAAATTTGTTAATCAAAGACTCAAAGACCTAACAAAAAATAGAGAGAAGACTGATTGGACAATAATTTTTAAAAATTAGAACCACAGATACTATTTTGCAGCATGCAGGAAAACAAGATTTGGTCAAGTGCTTTTTAAATAGTTTTAAGAGAATTAAAGAGAGTTCTTCAGAACAAAGAGAGTTCTTCAGAACAATTTTGTAAGACTATGACTAAAATGTCAACAAAGTTTAATTGAGATATGACTTAAGCAATGAAAGCTGAAGAGATTTGCATGTCTAAAAATAGGTTTACATATATATTTAGAATGGCAGGAGAAGTAAGACCATTAAAAGAGTTGAATTAAAGAAAAAGTTATTTGAAAATAGTTTTGCCTTTTTCTTGGGAGAGGCAATAAGATGAGATCCATGAATTAGAGATGGAATGTTCAACTTGCCTTTGCTAATGATCATATTGAAGATTTTTCAAAAAGCAATAGAGCCTATCTTCTGAGAAAAGATACAAGTTTTAGTAAACTGGGAATGGCGCCTTTTTACAATGATTTCTTACAATGAGAAAAAGAGTTATTCTTTTGAAAAATATGAAGAAAAAAAGATTACAATTAGATATACTGGGTGGGTAATAAAAAATGGTGCATGTAAAAAAACTAGAAATTTTCCACCAAAAATTTAAATCTAAATTAAGGTTTTTGGCCTTATGGAAAGCTTATGATGTATAAATTACTGTTGTACAATAAAAAACAAAATAATTAAACAATTAAATTGAGAAACAAAAACGAACAGACTATTCAATTTTTGAGTGGCACTAAAAGAGGTTGCCAAGACCACAATTGGACTCAACAGAAACACTATTCTCAGAGTAAAAAAATGGTTTATAAAGTATGAAAAGTTAAATGGAAAAAAAGAAGAGGAAAACCACCATCAAAAGGAACTCTTAAGGTTGTAAATGCTGCCAAGTTCCAGTTGATCAGAAACCTGTTACAGTCAATGCAACAGATGGCAAAGGAACTCAACATGTTAGAAGGAAAATTGAGAAACCTCATAAAATGAGATATTAAGGCTAGATCTTTTGCTAGAACAGCTTGGCCATTACTGACTGTAAGTAATATGGCAAACAGACTTGAACGAAGCTAGAGAATCTTGGCCTAATAAAACCTGCATGCATCTCTAAAAGAAATGCACCCATGTTTTACATTTCTCTGATAAAAAACAGTATTCTAGCAAAGGATCTAAACTTACAGTGGATTGTTTCTCAAATGGCAGAAACAATTGTGGCATTGTTAAAAGCAATTAAAGTGAACCTCCAAAACACTTCAGACAATTTTAAAACAAAACATGCTAGTCTGGTCATGGTTTTTGCAATCATTGCCTCTGATTGCCAAAAAAGTTATTTTGTTACCGAAAAACTGAAAACAAGTGCTTATATAAACACTCTGGAGAACCACATGACTCTATCAAAGACTTGACCACTATGACCTTAAGCAAAGGCTTGACATGTGTCAAACCTTTGATTGAGGTAACCTATGATAAAATACAAAAGTTGTGTTCACATATGATGGATCACTGTACAACACTGCTAAAAAAACACAAGCTTGTTTGAAAAAAGTATTCATAATTTAAAATTAAGAAAGAAGCTGACCCTTTTAAATAAAATTGTTTTAGACATAATTTTGTAAAAAGATTTTTTTTTTCATAATGAAAAATTTTTCTTTTCTGTTATACTTGCACCATTTTTATTACACACCCAGAAGCAGCTGCACAAGAAGGTAAAATTCATCATCATATACAAGTCAAACCTCATATCATCGAGTAAAGTGGGGTTTGATAGTTAGATGGTGTTAATGGTTTTTTATTTTTGGTTACTTTGGGTATGGTTTAAGTAAAAGAGAACTTGAATCATTCATAGATAGAGCATGGGGTCCTAAGCAATGAGCTATGCAGTTGTATTATTGCTTCTAATTAACCCAAAGTGGTAACTTAGGGCTCCTTATGTGGCCAGGAATATGCACACTAACAGGGACACCATCCATGCACAACATGGCGCTGTTAAAGCTCTGATATTTTACAGCTTTTGATGGGATCAGCTTCTCTGAAAGCTACCACAGAGTTCAGGAAACATTATTAGCAGCTGGCCTTAACACCATTAAACTAAATTTTAGAGTTTATTTTTTTTTTAATTTTAATTCACCTTCCCAAGGTCATGAAAGCTACTAGAGTTAAGGAGACCACAACTCAAGTTTGTAGTAACAACCCTCTCTCAGCTGGGTGGAGAAACAAGTTAAGTGCAGTACTACCAGGGAAGTGGTGGGGATCAAACTCTACCACTACACCACTACTGCATAACTGTATCCTCATTAGGAGATAAAATGAGAAGATATATAGCAACTATCAAGGAAGCACAAGCAAAAACCTATGACCAGAGTCAAGAAGATCCAACATTTATCAACCTAGGCAGGAAACAATTTTACACCGGTTTATATCTACACTAGCTTATTAGATGAAGAAGGAGTGCAAGACTGGTCAACAGAACTATTCTGCCTTCTCCCTAAAGTCTTTGCCTAAGAGGCCTTTTACAAGAAAGTAGTTGGATGGATGGACATCTTGATTACTCAACCAAGAGTCAGAAGGCAGGGAAGTTTTAGGTCGGAGTTTATTTCTCCTAGCCTTTGCTTAAAAAAGCAAATCTTACAAGGCAGCAAGACATGGGTAAGGAATATATACATTCAATTGAAGTTTTTTTCCTGGGTAGATATATATATATCAGAGTTGGGGTCAAATACATTTGATCAAATACAAATACAAATAATTTAACTATAGATATATAAATACAAATTCAAGTACAAATTTATGAAATATATTTGATCCGTATTTTCTAAATACGAATACAACTACAAATATTTATTTTTGTAAAAAAATATATTTTGTATTTTAGGTTAAGAAAAAATAGAAAGATCTTTTCAAGAAAAGATTAATAAATGTTCTATTAAATAGATAAATAAAAACAACTTTTCTGATAAATAACCCCTAAAAACAAATTTTTATTTTATTTTTGTGTAAAAAATTGTGGTATATCAAAAAAAACAATGGTTAAAGTTTATGGAATTGCAAATACATTTCAATAAAATACAAATACAAATATTTAAGAAATTTTTCAATCAAATACAATAGGAATACAAATACACCATATTAGCTTTATTTTATCACTAATAAATACAAATACAACTATGTATTTGACACAATCCCTGATAGATATATATATATATATATATATATATATATATATATATATATATATATATATATATATATATATATATATATATATATACATGTCATGTAGAATATATATATATATATATATATATATATATATATATATATACATGTCATGTAGAATATATATATATATATATATATATATATATATACATGTCATGTAGAATATATATATATATATATATATATATATATATATATATATATATATATATATATATATCTTTTAGAATATGTATATATATATATATTTTTTTTAGAATATATATATATATATATATAATATATATATATATATATATATATATATATATATATATATATGTATATATATATATATATATATACATATCTTTTAGAATATATATATATATATATATATATAAATAAATAAATAAATATATATATATATATATATATATATATATATATATCTTTTAGAATATGTATATATATATATATTTTTTTTAGAATATATATATATATATACATATATATCTTTTAGAATATGTATATATATATATATATATCTTTTAGAATATGTATATATATATATATATATATATATATCTTTTAGAATATGTATATATATATATTTTTTAGAATATATATATATATATATATATATATATATATATATATATATATATATATATATATATATATATATATATATATATATATATATATATATATATCTTTTAGAATGGTGGATGCTTTTTAATATATTTATGATAATATATTTAATATATTTTTAATAACAACGGAAGATTTTATAGAAAAAAAAGAAGATTTTTATAAAAGTTTTGAAAAAAAACTAAAAGAAAAAATTATAGACAAGTTAAAGAAAATTAAAGAAAGTAAAGGAAAGAAAAATAATAATAAAATGCAAGTAACATTAAAAAATTGGTAACCAAAACAAAACAAGTAATCAAAAGAAAAAAGAAAATTCAAAACAAAAAAAATTAAACTGAAAGAAAAAATGTAACAATCAAACAATATTTTGAAAAAAAAACTTAAAAAAATGGACAAGAAAGAGAAAAAGACTTTTTTTTTTAAATTTTTTACTTGTTTTTTACAGTATCTTGCATTGACATATTTTTGTACATTGTTTATGTTGTGTACTTTTAATCTTTGTTTAGTAATGTTATGTATTTTTGTGCTTTATTTATATTGTTTTGTGCGATGTTTATATGTGCGATGTTTATATTCTCGTGTATTTTTATTATACTGTAATATATGTCATTATAAATTCATATTCTTGTGCGTAAAAAAGTTAGTTTTTTTGTATATTACAAATTATTTTTTTTACAATAAATGTTTGTATTGTGCAGTAGGCTGTTCTGTTTTGTCAGTAAATACTGCTTGTAACTTCCTTTGTCAGTACTTATATATTAAATTGTTGTTTGAAAATTAATATTGACTTTTTTAATATTATATAATTACTTTATTATTGTAATAACTGTTGCTTAATTTTTTAATATTATTGCTATTATTATTGTTAATATTATTATCATTGCTATTGATATTAAAAACTTATTTATTTTTATTTGTTTTTTACTTATAATTAATCGTAAGTAAAAAAAATATACTAATCTATTTATTTTGACATTTTTTTTTTTACTTTTTACTTCGCAAGTGTTTCTTGTATTGCTGCTGTTTTTATCTGTTTTTTTTTAGTTATTATTGGTGTTGCTTTTGTTTTAGTTTTTAAATTTATTTTATTTTTTATAAGTTTAGTTTTTGCTGAGTTTTTGTTTGTGGTTTATGTTTGAACTTTGTTAATATTATTTGTTATTCGTAATATATCATATTATTATATTACTTATATAATTTTCATTCTGATTAAAATATTATAAATATTAATAATCATTGTCTGCTTCTATACAGTACTGTTTTTTATCTTACAGTAAATTGTTACTTTTTAACTGTTTGCAACTTTAATTATTTGTGAATATAATATTCAGTTTTTGTTTAGAAACCTATTAATGATCATATTAGTTTATACTGTTGTTTATTTTTGTGTATTGTTTATAATGTTGTGTATTTTTGTGTAATTTTTTATATTTCATATACTTTTATGTTTTGTTTATACTGTGGTGTAACTTTGTGCATCGTTTATATTGACATGTACACTTGTGTATTGTTTATGTTGACGTAAATTTTTTTTGTGGTCTTGTTGCTAATTATTTTTACTATTGTTGTTTTTTATGTTTGTTGCTATTATTCAAGCTATTTCCTTTTCTTTTTTTTTATCTTATCATAATATTTAAAAATAACCTTTTGTTTTGTTTTGTTTTATTTTCTTTATTAATTTTATCATCCTTCTGATCGTCAAACATTGTGTTATCTCATTCATTTGTTATCTATCATGTCAGTTTATTCACTTTTGCTTTTTTTGTGTTACTTGTCTTGCTTTTTTACACATTTTTTTTTCTTCTTTTTATTTTGTTCAATTTTAATTTGGTTGCTATCTTTAACAAATTTAAAAATGAATAAAGTAACAAAAACTATAAAATAAAAAAAACCACAGTCATCACCAAGTTCGCTAAACCTATCATTCACCAATATTCGTGGTCTTCGAAGTAACTTTTTTTCTGTTGAGTCTTATCTCTTGCAAAGTTCACCAGACCTACTTGCTATTTGTGAGACTAATTTGAGTTCAGCTGCCTCATCGTGTGATCTTAGTGTTGATGGTTATCTTCCTTTAATTCGTAAAGACTCCAATAGTCACATGCTTGGCCTATGCATTTACATTCGTAAGAATTCACCTATTTGTCGGGAAACTAGGTTTGAATCCACTTACTACTCTTTTATGTGCTTTCGTTTAGTACCACTTCACTCTATCACCTTTCTCTTTGTTCAATATCGCTCTCCTTCATCTCAAGACTGCACTCTTCTTGATGTTATTTCTGATTATATTGACCAAGCCCTCATTCTTTATCCATCAGCCAATATTGTTGTTGTCGGTGACTTTAATGTTCATCACACTGAATGGCTTGGCTTTAGTGTCAGTGACTCCGCAGGCATTAAGGCCCACAACTTTTGCCTTTCTCAATCCCTAACTCAAATAGTCAACTTTCCAACTTGCTTTCCAGACAACCCGAACCATTTACCTTCTCTACTCGACTTATGTCTTGCTTCTAATCCTAGTCAGTCCTCAGTTTCTCCACACTCACCCTTAGGTGCTTCTGATCATGGTTTGGTCTCTCTAAAACTATTATCTCATTCTTCTTTACCATCAGAATTCCCCTATCATTGTACACCTTACAACTACCTTAAAGCTGACTGGGACTCTTTCCGTGATTTTCTTGCCAAAGCCCGCTATTCTCAGATCATGAAATCTCGTATTTCATCACAAAAATTAGGCTCTCGTGACTTCTGGAGAATCTTTAATAGTATCAATAATAAGGGCAAGTCTGTAATTCCACCTCTTTTGTACGGTTCAGACTTTGTCACCTCACCTAAAGATAAAGCTATATAATTGTTTGCCAAGAACTTTTTATCAATATTATCGCTGGATTCCACTAGTTGCGTTCTACCTGATATAGCCGTCAAACGGGTTGATCCACTGCTCGACATCTGTATCACTCCAGCTTCTGTATCTAAAGTGATTTCCTGCTTAGACTCTTCTACAGCTTGCGGCCCGGACAACATACCTGTTATAGTCTTGCAAAAGTGTTCTCCGGAGCTCTCGTCTATCCTTTCAAAACTATTTAACAAGTGCTTATCAGAGTCTTGTTTTCCAGCCTGCTGGAAAGCAGCATCTATTATCCCTATTTTTAAAAACTCTGGAGAGCAATCTGATTCGTCTAATTACCGTCCCATTAGTCTTCTTCCTATCATAAGCAAGGTTTTTGAATCTTTAATTAACAAACACTTAATCTCTTATCTTGAATCTAATAACCTACTTTCTGATCATCAATATAGATTTTGATCTTCTTGTTCTACGGCTGATTTGCTAACAGTAATAACCGATAGGTTTTATCACGCATAAGATAAAGGTGGAGAGGTTAAGGCCATCGCTCTTGACATTTTTAAGGCGTTTGATAAAGTTTGGCATGCTGGTCTTCTCCATAAGCTATCTTCTTAAGGTGCATCTGGAAACATCTTTAAGATTATCGAATTCTTCCTTTCCAATCGTAGTATAAAAGTTGTCCTCGATGGACAGCACTCTTCTTCTTATTCTGTAACCTCAGGGGTTCCTCAAGGTTCAATCCTTGGCCCTATGCTCAATTTAATTTACATTAACGATCTTCCAGATTTTCTCACATCTAAGGTGACATTGTTCGCTGATGATACTACCATTTATTCTTGTCATGATAAGAAGCCAACTCCCTCTGATTGCTTGCAGGGGCCAGCTGAGCTTGAAAAGGATCTCACTTCTGCTACAGCATGGGGCTCACAGTGGCTGGTGAACTTTAATTCAGATAAAACTCAACTTTTTTAGCCAATTGTTATCGCAATATTTTAGACCTTCCTATATTTATGAACGGTAATGTACTTGATGAGTCATCTACCCTTCATCTTCTAGGATTAACTCTTACTTCTGATCTTTCTTGGAAACCTTATATCAAATCCGTTGCAAAATTAGCATCTGCTAAAGTCGCTTCTCTTTATCGAGCTTGTCACTTTCTTACTCTGGATTCTATTCTCTATCTCTATAAATCTCAAATCCGGCCTTGCATGGAATACTGTTGCCATATCTGGGGTGGATCTTCTAATGATGCCCTTTCTTTTTTAGACAAGGTACAAAAACGCATTGTAAACATCGTTGGACCTACTCTTGCAGCCAACCTTCAACCTCTGTCACATGTAATGTTACTTCTCTTTCATTTTTCTACAAATACTATAATGGGCACTGCTCTAAAGAGCTAGCGTCTCTTGTGACATCTACTAAAATTCATTCTTGTGTTACTTGTCATTCAATTAAGTCTCATCCTTTTTCTGTTACTGTTTCTAAGTGCTCCAAAAACTCTTATTTGTCTAGTTTTTTTCCTTGAACATCAGTTCTTTGGAATTCGCTTCCTACATCTTGCTTTCCTGATTCATATAATTTGCAATCTTTTAAGTCGTCTGTCAATCGTTATCTTGCTGGTTGCTTGCAGCCTTGTTGGAAGCGAAGATGTTAAAAAAAAAATCTATATTACTTTTTTTGCTTAATTTGTTTATTTTATTAAGGTGTCACTCCAATAACTAGTTTTTAACTATATAAGTGACACCAAACCTAATTTCTGAAATTATTAATCACTTTGTAATTATATCAACTTTATGGTAAAATAAATAGATAATATATATATGGGCGGCGGTACTTCCTTGTTTCGCCGGACTTTAGTGGAAAATAGTTGTTTTTTCGCGATAAAAAAACAAAATTTGCCGTAAAAACAAAAAAAAAAAGTTTCTCTAATTTTAATTTGGGCGGCGCCTTAATCGGCACCCAAATATGGTCGATGCTGTCAAAAATGGTCTATGGTCTAGAATAGCCCCTGATATATATATATATATATATATATATATATATATATATATATATATATATATATATATATATATATATATATATACACATATACACACATGCAAACAAGTATACATACTTTTCAACCACCGAAGTTGCACTTGATTTTTGTTTAGGATTTGGTAAACCTCTAGATGCTCGTGACTCAATAGATTGCTACAACAATAATAAAATAACAGTGAATAGGCAATCGCAATATACATATTTATTTTGATCATTGAAACTTTTTTTTTTATTAGAGGTTTCTAACAGCAACTGCTTTAAAAGTAAATACAGAAATATTTAAAATAGACATTTTAAAAAGCTAATTGCAAACAAGATTATTTAATAATTTTTAATTTTAATTTTGAATCATATACTTCCCTTAAAATATTTATTTAAATTTTTGACAAACAATTTTGGAGTTAAAAGGAAAAGGTAATGAACAAAAAGATTGAAATTGTGGTAACAAGATATCTTTTACTTACTTTAATAATTTAGGAAATATAATTGGATCACAAAGTGAAGCAGAAGATGCATTAAGTAGAGGCAAAGAACAAAAAAAGGAAACAGTGTGTAATAGACAACATGATGGGGCTAGGATAAGAGCTGTAGTTAAAAAATTAGAATTTTTTTTTCGATTCTAATTTCACTTCTAACAAGGCTAAAAGCAACAACTAATAGGTTGGCAGTTACAAGAGTTAAATAGCAAGGAAGCGATTGACAGAAAAATTGAAAAGTTGTAGGTTGTATAAGTCAGGAAAACACAAAGATGGAAGTGAGCTCCAAAGGATTGAAGTGCAGGGAAGAAAATTAGATGAAAAAAGTTTTTAGAGGATGCAGGGACAGATACAATAAAAAAATGAGATATTGCTGAATGACAAGTCAAGCAAGAATGAGTTTTGGTTGATGGAACTAGAAACCTCCTTTGAGCAGCAAACATTAGTATTTGTAGAAAAGAGAAAAAGATTTTAAGACAATGAGAGAGAGGCTAAAGCTTGGCAGATAGAGTGGGCCCAACTATAATGCGTTTACGGACCTTGTCTGAAGAGAAAAAACTTATTTTAAAAAGAACCTATACAAATATGATAACAATATTCCGTACAGGGGCGAATAAGAGATTTGTAGAGGTAGATAATGAGATCAGGAGTAAGAAAATGGCAAAAACGATAAAGAAAAGCAACCTTAGCAGATACTATATTAGCTATAAGCAATAAGAAATTGATTTTATATATGGTTTCCATGAGAGGTCAATAGTGAACAATAATCCAAGACGTAAAGAAGTAGAATCAGCGAGAGGGTTGCTATTCATCAATAATAAGAAATGTTGACAGCATAGCGATAGTTGTATTCTATTGAGTTTCTTTAAACATGTTGAGGTGCAGGATAGAAAACAAAACTCTAAGTATTCCTTGTTTTTTAAAAGAATATTTTTATGAAATAAAAGACAAAAGTTTTAACCCAATCAAATCAATAAACTTGCATGATTGTCAAAGATTTGTGATTTAAAAACTTATTTACTTTTTATTATATATATATATATATATATATATATATATATATATATATATATATATATATATATATATATATATATACATTTACAAATTTTTTTTGCCAACTTAATTCCATAAAGTTTTTTCAAAAAAAGAAAAAAAGTAAAGAATAGTGAAAAAACTTATTGCTGTCCTAACCCAAAACCTTGGTCAATTTAGCAGCAACTCTCTTGCGTGTTATAAAGTTTATGTGTACGCTGAAGCCCTCACAGCTCCCTAAATAAGTATGATGTCAGATGTAATATATTTTTCTCTAAAAATCTTTATATTTTTGGATATGTATACTTATTTTATTAAAAAATTATAGATAATACCTTTAAGTTGCATTTTCTTTTAGGTTGCATTTTAAAGTAGGTTAGGTATGTTAAACTGTTTTTAATTTATTTTGAAATTATAATACTAGTAAGTAAAAAATAAAATACAATAAAATTTTAATAAAAAAACAACATATAAACATGCTTTCTGCTTAGTTGTAACCTTATTCTTGTTCTTTATATTAGGAGATTTTGTTGTGATATAAATAATGATGTTTATTAAAGAATTTAAAAAATAAAGTCTATTGCATATTTATTGTATGTCTATGCAAAGTCTATGCATGTGTCTATTTTGCTGAATCAAAATTTAATAATTAATATGTGGTAAATCATTATGAACTTATTGGGTTTATTATCCAAAGATAACTAAGCATAATACAAGCAATCAAATTACAGTAATAAATTAATTAGAAGCTATTTTTGAATTACTTTAAACTCTGAACAAATAGTATTAAGTAAAAAACTAATTCATAATTTTAAAATGAAATAACTAAATATTAAGCTTACTTGTTTAAATAATAACTTTGCTGCTGGACTGTCATATGATCAACTGGTCATGTTGTTTTTATAGTTTAAAGACAGCACATGTTGGCTTATTTATTAAATAAAAAATAAAAATTATAATTTCACAACTGGTAAATTTTTTTTACTTGTATGTTAATCTTTATTTATGCTCAATCAAGATGTTTTTAATTCTATAGAAGGGTATTGAGTAATCTGTCAGACACTCCACAACTACAATAGTATTTTCTTATGTTCAATGCCTATATGGTATCCTACAAATAATATAAGACACAGTGATTTTGATTTTGTGGCTAAATCTTTAGTTATGCAGTGTATTGTGACTACAATAGTAATTAAGATTACACTTTAACTAATACTTTTCATCAAAACTGTGGCTAAACATACAAGAATAATTTTAAATGCTTAAGACCATCAAACGTGTTTAGATTATAGGCTAAGAAACAATATTAGGGACTCGCCTACTTTCAGATCTGAATGTCAGTCAAATTTCTGTAAGATTATTCATATAAGATTAAATTGAAGATTAATGGAAGAAAAAAACAAGACCATTATCAAGTTTCCATTCTGGTTGAAATCAAGACTACCAGTAAAACAAAATCAGGATAACAATCAAAAATAAAGAAACTGATATGCTGTTTAAGTTAGGCCAATGAAAATTTTGGAAAAAATTTAACTCAACAGATCAATTGAACCAAAAAAAATATATGAGAAACTTTAACAGGTAAAGCTACAGTTAAGTGATCAAAAATAACTTTAATTTTTTGCTTGTTACAATCTTGTCAGTGGAGGCTTTTTAAACATTAGGAATATCAGTTGAAACAATAAAAGAAAAAAGACTACTGCCTCATGCCAAACCCTCAGTTAATGTAGCAGCAATTATTTGTAGCAGCAGACTATATGATAGTGGATGTAGCAGCACTCCCTTGTAGCAGCAAGTTATAAGATAGTTGATGTAGCAGCACTCCCTTGTACCACCAGGCTATAAAATAGGCGATGTATGTACTGAAGCCAATAAACATTCTTTTTTATATTAAAAAATCATCACTTAGAGCAAGTTTCAACACGAGAACGCAACAAGCGAAAAAAATTAAAATATTTTAGACTGTTATACTGTAGCTTTGCCCTTTGACAAAGAATCTTTTTGACTGTCAACTCAGATATTATTAAACTAATGTTTAAGATTGAAAGTTTTTAAAGTATGCAAGTGAAAACTTTGCAGACGTTAATATGCTAGTTCGGCCAGGAGTCAACTATGCAACTGTAAACCATAAAACTTCAAAACCTTATAGAGAACTTAACCTTGTTTAGATAACCTGAAATTTTATATGCTTTATATGTCATTATTACATAAATTAAAGAGACATAATTTAAAGACATAACTTAAAGGGCGAGGCTTCAATATGCTAAAAATTAGCTTTTTATTGACACCCTAACATTATTTATTATCTATTTACTTTTTATTTATTTGTTAATTTTTTCATCATCCTTCTGAAAAGAATGATAAAAAAGAAATCAAAAGAACATTATAATATATTATTATGTTATAATATATTGTGAACATTAGCATTATTATTATTATCATTATATATAATTAACATAATTGGTTGTCAACTGTATATTAGTTAATTAACTATCTGTAAATATTATTGAATGTAAGGCTTTTATGTAAAAAAAAAACATTTTATTTTGATTTGTTGTTATTATTATTTATGTATTTCGGTACCGGATACTTAAATCCTAGTCAGCAAAATTTTAGGTAAGAGTGGTCACATTTACCTATTTAGTTTTAAAGTTTTTTCATAAGCAGATGTGTAGCCCTGACTAATTTATCGGGTATATGATTAATGCTCGCCATCTTGTATAATTTTAATTTCCGTAAAGTTTTCAACAAAAGAAAAGAAAATGGATGTTCTGAGCATTAGCGACTCACCAATGAAGCATGATTTTAGTCCTTATTCGTCTCAAGGAGGCTCACTACTTGCGATAGCAGGTGAAGATTTTGCAGTTATTGCCTCTGACACCCGTTTGTCTGAGGGATTTTTAATTCATTCTCGTAATATTCCGAAAACCTATCAGCTAACCGATACAACAATACTTGGTTCTTGTGGTTTTCATGGCGATGTCCTCACATTGACTAAAAATATCAAGACAAGACTTGTTATGTATGAACACGAGCATTTTAAAACAATGAGTTGTTCATCTATTGCACAAATGCTCTCCACCACACTTTATTACAAAAGGTTTTTTCCTTATTATACATATAACATCATTGCAGGTTTAGACAGTGATGGTAAAGGGGCTATCTATAGTTTTGATCCAGTAGGGTCATATGAGAGAGAGACATATCGTGCGGGTGGATCATGCTCAGCAATGCTTCAGTCTTTCCTTGATAATCAAATTGGACAGAAAAATCTAGCAAAGAAGTCAGATATTCCATTATCTTTAGAGAGATGTGTTGAGCTTATTAAAGATGTATTTATCTCTGCAGCTGAAAGAGATATAGAAACAGGAGATGGTGTTTTAATTAGCATTATTACTAAAGAAGGAACAAAGAGTGAAGTTTTTCCACTGAGGAGAGATTAAAGGAATTTATACTTTAAAATCGATTAAATCAACTTTGGGTAAAGAATAATATTGTTGTATAAAAAATTTTTTTACTTACAAAATAAAAGAGAAATTTATTTGTATGTATGTTCTGTGTATTACATCGTACCTAGTTTTAAATATTCAAACTTGAGAAATGTTCTATATTATTCTTGTTTAGTTTTCTTTTGTTATTACTTTTATGTTGAAAATCTTCCAAAATCTGATAATAAAAAGTTTTGATTTTTTATTATTATAATAAAAAGCTTTGATTTATTATTATTATTATTTTTTATCTAGTTGATAAGTTGTTGCAGATCCTATAAATTTCTAAAATCCTTAATTCATTTTTAAAAAGGTAATTACTTCTGTTTAAAAATATTGCTTAGAATAAATTAATGGTTTTCTCATGTAAACTGTCCTAAACAAACACTTATCCGTTTTAAAAAGAAACATGTTCTCAGTTTACAATAACATACAACTTTGTGTGTTTTGAAATGATGCATTTGTTGTTTAAATGATACATGGAACTTAATTATGAATCTTAAGCAAATCAGTGAAATTTTTAAATTAAAAGTACCTTAAAAAATTTTAATTTTTTTATTGAATCCAATTTTGATATTGTTAAATTTAGTCCTTTTTAAAAGAAAATATTAGCTTCTTTAAACTAAGTATCATCTGTGAAGTTACAAAATGAAATTTGCATTTAATTTTAATTTCTAAAAGTTAAGTTGTTTATTATTTAAACTCATATAAGTAGTATATTTGATGACATGTGTCTATCTACGTGAAGTGAATTACTTAAATTGATCAAATAATAATAGATTGTTATATATTATTGGAAAGGACTATTCTGTATTTTAAAGGTAAAAAAAATTTACAAATATGAACAATTCTACAAAAAGTTATGGCATTTTAATGCCATAACTTTTTTAATACGTGGATTTATTGAAGAGACTGATCAAATTTTAACTTGAAATGTCATAGCTTTGTCAATTTTTATTGAAATACATACAATTCGTTATCAAAAGAAAGAAATGGCAATATGTATTAACAAAGAAGGCTAGAGGGGCGTCTACAAAGCCCTTTAATATGGTAAAAAATGTAGATTTAAAAAAATATATAATTTTTATTTGTATTTTTTAATATTCTAACAGGGTGTCATCGAATATGATTCGGATACTTAAGGTTGATAGACTGGAAGTTCTTTAAATGCACCCTCTATAGATGTCTAAACAAAAATTTGTTTACCTAATTAAGGTAACTTATTAAGATGTATGCTTTTTTTTCAATTAAATTTGGCAGTTGATAAGAAAAAAGGCTTTTAAACGTGAGAGAATATGTTAGAAAATAAAACAACATTCCATTGATATATAATTGTTGTCCAAACAACAAGAAAATGTTTACCTAATTGGGATAAGTTGGTGTCTAGGCATGCCTTTTTTTTCAATGAAATTTGGTACGTAGTGAAAAAAAAGGTTTTAAAATTGAGAGAATATTTTAGAAAAAATGAGCTCAGATTCCTTTTATATAAATTTGTTGTCCAAACAACAAGCATGTTTTTAACAACGATCAATTTCATTATAAATAAAATTTTACATTAAAGAAATCCATACAGTGTTAAAGTTTCGTAATTTGATACATATATCTAAAAATTGTTTTTTGCTACATGTACCATTTTCATTCTATAGATAAAAATAATAATTTGGTATTTAAAGTGTGGTTTAACTTAGTTTATGCATAGCTTAAATATCCCATTTTGTGGATTGCGTTTAATCACTTAGCAACTTTTGATTTATTAATTATCTTGCTTTAAACTTTGATTTTATTTATTTTTTACTATTTACATATCCGTACATAATGTTCAAAATCAAAGAAAGGAAAACGAAAGAAATTAGCTATAACGCTCGTAGGTCAGTTGACCTGCTTAACTATTACGTAGAAACCAACTTCTATCGAATAGAAGTGTTCTTCAGTATTACTTGTTCCTAACTTCAGCTAGAGATAAACGATTCAAACCTATTAAAACAAACTTTTTATGTTCTTGAGCACGAGAGGATGTTGTATGTAAAAAGGAAAGACGAGTTTTTTAATTCAAATACCGAAAAAACACTGTTTACTCCGACAAATTGTAAATATTTGAAAGTTTGCTGTTTCAGTAATTACTTGATTTCTAAGAGAAGTATAGTAGAAAAGTTTAAATCTATATACAGCAAATACAAAGTTTTGTACAACAGTAAAATCTTTCAAATCAAAAAACAAGTTTCCGAACGCCACAAAAATGACTTTTACAATATAATAAAGCATTTGTTTGACATCAGTGCAAAAGACTTTGAGATGAAGTTGAGACACGATGAATCAATGCCTCGTAATACTTCTGCTTTACAAAAGGATTTGGCCCTCTTAGATGATCAAAGTTATTTTTTGCTCAAATTTTTTTGCGAAGATTTAATCTATTTTTCAATTATGGACATATCTACTAGTTTTTCGCAAATATAAAAAATCATATTTTTGAGAATTTTTGTTTTTTTTTATTCAAATTTATCTTACGCTAAGTGTTTTAACAACTTTTTGCACAGAACTAACAGAAATATGATCATATCTTAAAAAATTGACACAGAGCTTGAACAAGGTTTCAGAGAAAGATTAATAGATGCAAGAGCAAAAAAGAATACAAAAATCGAGCGCAGAAGAGCAACGATTCAATAATTCATAATAATAAAGGGGAAATTGGTGAAAAAAGGGATGGAACCATAAAATATTTCTTAACAATGATATAGAATTTCCTAACAATGATATAGATGACTTCGCAAATGAGGACCAGAATCTAAAAAAGCAAGAGCTGAATCACAATTAGATATCAAAGTATAATTTGTTTAAGATATAAAAATTTTTATTCTAACTTCTGAATAAATAAAAAGTGAGAATATAAACAATTTTTTCTAATAGTGCACGGACATTTTAGATAAAATTATCAATTGAAGTAATTGTATAACTGAGCTAAAAATCTTTATATCAATTTAGATGCTCGAAGTGTAATTGCTGAGTCGGAAGTTTTCGTCCTAAATAAAAATGTGAACTTTCACAAAGCAGACTTAAAAAGTAGAAGAAAACATGAAGTTGGAAACTCACTTCAAAAAAGCATGAGTAACCACACTTGGTATTTGTTTCCTAAAGTTGTCGCACTATCATTAGGTGATCCTCATATGAAAGCAAATGCTAAGCGTTTAATCATTAAGAAACTTTTAAAATTTCCAGTTCCTGGGTTATCAGAGATTTCTGTAGAAGCTCCTTCTGCTGTTATTGCTTTTTTATACTTACAGGTCACACCGAATCTGTTTGAGAGTGGCATACTTCAAATAATTTCTTAGCGCTAGGTTCATAGACACATTGTACTCAGTTAGTTCAGAATCTTAGTATGACCAACTACTGCACAGAAAGAAATATTAGTTTAATTGAAAACTTTGTTCACCGTTCCCACAATGAGACAAAACATTCTTTTGGTTGTCAGGGAACAGAGAAAGCTAATAACAAAAGATATGCTCTTAAGGAATTGGTAAAGTTGAAACCTAGAGTTGAAAAATTAATATAAAATAATAGCTAACTTTATAAAACTATAAACAGTGATTTTTTTTTTCTTCGATCAAACAAAAGTTTAGTTATAAACATATTTTAACCCGTAAAAATGACATAAAGTTCAGCTAATTCTCAATATTTGAAAAATTACATGTAGCACTTCCAACGAACAAAAATAGGTGCAATTTTTTATTTAGACTAACTGAATGTTGTAGAACAGGATAAGCGGTTATTGATTTTCAACCTCATTTTGTGTCATCCTAATATAAACCCTATTTTTTGCAATATTTTACCATCAAACAGCATCTGATTAAATTGTAAGATATGGTCTTTGATTTTCTTCATAGTTTTTCAAATTTGTTTAAAATAGCTTTATTTACTCTTCAATATTTGTGTTAATCTAATAAATTAAATTATGGTAGCAGTTCTTTAAAGATGCTTACTGTTCAGATCAGTTATCCAGCATAACAATCTTTTTGTGATTTGGATGATTATTGTTTTGTTTATACTTTAACAAATGTTAATAAAAGTCTTGATCAGCAGTTTTAAATGTTTGTTTACTATAGATCCTTTGCAACTGATAAAATCTTTGATGCTGTAGAAGACGGTGTGAACTTTGTGTGTTACGTTGTCGTCAGCTATCATTAAGTATCCTTTTGAAATTTTCAATTATTTCAGAAAAATCCGGCTGAAGGATAAATACAAAGCAAGCTTATACAATAAATTAAACCTTTTAAATGCTTCAATTATGTGAAGAGTGTTAAGAACCGAGTTTGTATTAGCAAGTTGCTGGAGCACATCCAAATTTTTAAGAAGCTTCCTGCATTCATTTCCCTTAAATTAGCCCCATTATTTAGTTTCTTTAAAATGTTGAGGGCAGCTGTCCACCTAACAGCTTCTATCAGTTTTAATTATTTTGAAAAGATATTTGACAACTCCTATAAGGAGATGCAATTCTATTGGTGGGCTTATTTCCGATAACAACTAATGATTGGCTTTCGAATGATATTGCCAAACAACTTTTCATAAACCGCCAGATTGCTGAAAATTGCTTTCATATCGCACGCCAAACTCCATTTGCATTTATTAATAACCAGATTTTGTTCAATGTTGTAATGAGTTTCTGGCAAATTTTCCAATACGACAACAAGAATTTATCTCTTAACTCCAGTGCCAGTACTTTGAATAAAGTTTGTTCAAAACTTTCAAGTTATTTTTTTTCAAAGTGATTAGAAACGTCAAAAATATACTTCTCAAAACCTATCTTGTCTCTTTTTAAAAGATTTTTTTTGAACATATATGTAAAAATTATTTAAGTATAATATTTACCTGGGGTAATTGTAAGTAGAGACCCGCTAGCAACTCAAATAGTTCCTTCAGGGAATAATTATTTACTGGAAATAACTCGAGATGCAATTTGTTCGGCTGCTCTGAGATCTTTTGCTGCTAAAGAATAAAGCTTTTCCCTTAACTTTATTTGAGAGCATTGGCAAAGCAAACCTTTTCTTAATGGGCAGAGGCATGTGCTGCAA